CCTCACCTCACCTCACCTCACCTCACCTCACCTCACCTCACCTCACCTCACCTCACCTCACCTCACCTCACCTCACCTCACCTCACCTCACCTCTTCTCGTGTCCTCAGGATATTTCAACAAAATAGAAAACATTTCTTTGCTGGAATTAACATTCATTCATACAATCAAGTAACTCGAGTTTACGCGATCGTTACAACGACATTTACGATACATTCGTGTTTGTGTTTCAGGTGAGACTGTACTACGACTGGTTTCTGGTACCAGGTAGTTGCAAGTGCTGGCGTCCTGACTACTTTAATCGGTACGTACGTCGAAGCGGGACTAACGTTGAATTGTGATATCGAATCGTTGCGAGTGTTATCGATCGATACGTTACCGTTTAAAGAAACAATCGATAGATAGAAACAATTGCCTACGTGAAAATTCAGCGACATTTCATTTCCAAGCTCGACAGTTGGACACATTGTTTAGCGTTGAGTAAAATGTAATTCACGATTGCTGTTTATTCGTAACGATTAACGAATAATCGATAATCATCCGATGCGATACATTCGTTATTATTTCCTCTCGAAAACTATCCGCGGTGTTTATAACGCGAATAGATATAAGAACAGAACGGCCCAAAATGCGTTTAATATCGTAAATTAGCTTTAATACGAAATGATAACTTTATCGTATCGAATTTGCATGATTGCGTACCTTAAGACTGAACAAGTAACCGTCGGCATCGGCATCGGCATCGGCATCGACATCGTCGTCGGCGCCGTAAAATGCACACGTATGCATTTGAAATCAGTGCGAGTTATTATTAAGTTTTCCTTTTTCTTTAATGACTAACGTTTTACACAACTGTCTGGTATTTGTACGATGCGCGGCGCGTTTTTATCGTTGAAAAACGTTGTTCGATTATTATGATAGAATATATATTTTATTTATCGTTGGACTTGTTAATTATAATAATATATACTAATTGTTTAGAATTTGTTATTCTAAAAGGACGAGGATCGCGAAAGATGATATTTCCATGGTATTTTTATATTTAAAAATATCGACAAGTTTCGAGGGATCTTTGGTCAGATGTAGGAAACGTTACTCGTTACGCCACTTGGATTTTTTAATATTGTTTTCTTATTACCGAATATGTCTCTCGTTCCACTTAACCAGCGTAGCGAATACGTGGAAATTTGTTTATACGTAACGTTTATACAATCTAAAAACATACAGGTCGCATATAGTATTTATAAAGCTTGAGGCAAACGTTGGGAGATCGTTTGCTAACGTATATGAATAATTGAAACTGGCATCTCAGGGCAAAGTGTGTCTCGCGTTCGTTCTTAAAACGACATATGCTAACTTGGAAACTACCCAATGTAAACGAACGTTCTTTCATTTTTAAGGTTACGGTAACCAACGTACGATGTAGCCTATGTTTAAGTGTATGTATAAAAACTGTGTTTCCTTGTCCGTTAAAAGTATTTATTGTGTAATTAATAACATTGGTATCGCATAATATAATTATTACAAGACATCCTAACGATAAAACATGTAAGATAATCATAAGGAGACTTGCATTTATATTTTATATTAAAGTTATTTTGAATATCATCGGAATAATGGCCTCTTTTTGTCAGAGATAAAAGATATAAAACTGGTTGATCCTCTGAAAAAGAGACAGAGGACAGAGTTTGCTATTTAATCGAATAAAATGTTATCCATCCTTCTCCACTCGAACGAAAGAAAAAATCGATGCAACTAGAGGGTGCCGTTCTCTCTCTCTCTCTCTCTCTCTCTCTCTCTCTGATTTGCATACTACTATAAAAGAATTTACGCGGGCTAGACATTTCAGATGGCGAACGTGTTCCCTATACTCGTTTAAACTAGTTTAAACTTAAACGACACGTTACACGATCGTACCGTTGATCCGTGTACATAGAAACACAACTCTGTAATCTTTTTCCTATGTAATTATAAATCCGCATTCCGATTTCTGAACGGCCAAGTTTTCAGCGAAATAGTTGCCGCTTCTGACGGCAGATAGCGACACGTCGAATTCTGATACCCCGACTGTACTGCAGATACTCGTTCGAGTCTGTGCATTCAAAGTCTGCGTGTTTCTGATTTCCCTGTAACCCTTGCTACATCGGCTCGATTCGCTAGAAATTTTGTTTGAATGGGCTTCATGCTGGGACAGAAAATTTAGCCTGTAAAAAATATTAGAAAAATAGCTAACATCGAATGAAAGTTAGGGAGAAGGCGATCGAGTTTTCCCTAAAAGGCTCCTGGTAAATATTTCCAGGACGATGCGTATTACGTTTAAATGCCATTCGAAACGAAGAAATTGAATGGGACTCGGCTCGAAAATAACGAAGGCGAAAAGTATTTCGATGAAATGCAGCAAGTTTGTAGAAAATTGCGTGGCACGTAACGTTTGATTGAAAAACGAAACGAGATCTCGTGCGCCTCAGCCCTGATACTATACGTGTTTCACGCGACGACGGTCGGTGATCGCATGGAATGGCCGCATTATGCACTTTAACTGCAACGAGTGCACGAAACGCGCGAAAACAGGCTGGCTAACAATAAGTTTGGATAACGTCGTTTACAGTTCCTGGTGAGATTCGAAGGCGACCGTGCCGGTTTGCAGCGTCACCCACACCTAACCGTACGTAGGTATTCCGACTACGACGACTGGATCAATATACTCCAGGCACAGAAAGACGAGGAAAGAGGTAATAGCAGCGACAGTGCGAACAAGAGAGACCGCGAGAATCGCACGGTGTCTGTTGGCCATGGTTATCGAGCGATCCCACTTGTTATGGGAACCCTCGATGGGATAACAGTCACAGTTCGGAACAACGAACGATCGATTGAAAATCCAAGCACCGATCAATTAATCGATATTTCGATGTGTATAGATTGCAACCGGCCAGCATTAATTTCTGGCTAAATTAACGATTAATTATTTAATTAATTAATTAAAATCGTTTAGAATTCGCGAGTTTCTTTTCTCGGTAGAGAATCTAGAACGAGCATTCGAATCTAACCGCCGCCCGATCAATTAAGGTCGACCGTGTGTTTTTTCCTCGTCGTGTATACAAGTGACGTATAACATAGATAAGCTCGTTGACGAATCTCCGAATCTCCGAATATTCAGTTCTCGCGGATCCTGCGTTTTTCACCTTTTCAATTTTCACTTTTTTCGGCCAATGCTGACCAGCACTCGTGATAAATAATTTCAATGTCCATTTCCACGAGTGAAAAGAAAAGAAAGCCTGATACGAGGTAAAATGATGCATTTGATCTTTTATCCGATCGAGAGATCGGTTGGTGGCTGTTTGGAGGATCGATGAGAAACGCCTACTCTGCGTCAAATACGTCGAGCCACGTGATTCGGTGCAGCCGCGTATATCGCGACACGCGCTTGTATACATACGTACAAGAGCGGAGCCAGTGGCAGTGACAGCGTCGGCTGCTGCGCCAGCTGAAACGAAATAGGTGGGAGGGGTTAGCGCGCTATGCGAACGTGTATACTAGCATAGACGGATATTGCAAAGGGAACGCGACGCCGACGGGGAAAGCTAGTCGAGTGTCGACCAACGAAGGAGACGCGTCGTACAAGTTTTTTCCGCGAAGCTTATCGTCAGGTTCGGCGCGGTAAGCCATTGTTCCCTCGACGTCGACGCCGACGCTCCGACGCTCCGACGCTCAACGAAACGCATGACAACGTAAACACGGGACCAAGGGAAACGATCGAGCCAGTGTACGGCTCGTCGTTTAGTCGTTAACGAAGAAAAGTCGGAAACGACATGTGGCCGAGGTTTCGAAGCGGCGCGAACCTGCTCGCTAAAAATACGTTCGGCGAACGATCGAAGCGCTACCAGGAGCTTGGCGAAAAGCTTGTCGAGGATCAGTGATGTCCGAGTGCACAAGATGCCAGTGAGAAGGTGCATCCGTCGACCGGGCTTTCGGAGACGGTCATGATATCACGGAACTTGGCGAATTCGGATCGAGACTGCGTGCGGACCAATCTTTTCGTTACTCGCAGCTCGCGGACAAACCGTGTTCCGTCGCGTTCCAGACATCGTCGACGGGGAAAAATCGAAACGAGAGCCGTTTACCTCAGACCGGACTAATTCGCCAAACAGTGAACACAAACTATTAAAAATCATGAAAAAGTAATAATGGTGAGAACGGTGCGTGCAGACTGCGTACTTTCAGCACGATAAGTTTGATACACAGAGGTGAGGAAAATGTACGTCGAAATAGTTGTCTAAATGGTTGGTCTAGTTTCGGACGCGTACGAATTTACTAAATTATCGATTAATTTGTCTGAAATCCAACGTGACGAGTATAAAAATTGTCGAAATTAGAATTACGCGATGAAAGAAAAAGTCTCGGGTCGACCGAATGGTACAGAGTAAAATTGTGCGATAGTCGAGCAGTAGCCGGTGCGGTGCGGTGCGGTGCGGTGCGGTGCGGTGCAGCGCAGCATAGCGCAGCGACACGAAAAATCGCGAGCCTCGAAGGTTCAATTCGAGATTTGTCGCGTCCCAGTCGTTGATGACATAAAACCACGATACTTGAACGAACGTAATAGCATTTCTTATTGTATGTGCAGCCCGCACAGCTGTGTCAGAGCCGCGGAAGTGCGTAAACGAGGCGGAACGATCGCAACTCGTGAACGGAGCATGAACGCCGATTATCAGGTGAGCACTAATTGCATAGATCATATGAGAGATATTGAACGTGTGCGTTGGTTCGACATCGAAACTCGAAAGCCCAAGCTTCTCGACTTTGCTCAACTGTAATTGCTCGATCAATTATGCTTACACGCGATCGCAAATTTCCCATTATCGAGGGGAGGCTAGTAGACAAATGTTATACAAGTCTTGTTCCATTTCATCGAAATTGAATCAATTTCACTCGAGGTCATCTGTTTGGAAAATGCCGCATCTTATCGGAAATATGGTAATTTTCAAAGGATTGTCAAGTTAAGAAAACAGACTATAGAACTTTTACAGTTACTTTGTCCTATAGATATTTGTACCTTGCATATCTATTAAATTTCACCCAAGTGGAACGATAAGTTTAGTGTTTCCGAATAAACACAATCACGTTCCATTGTAAATATGTACAGGAATAAACTTGACACGAGATGGTTGTTTAATAGACATAGAGGGTTACGAATATTTACGGGACTGAGTTTATTCGAAATATTACAGCAAGCAATCCCCAAGAGCATTCCATGTTCGACACTTAGTTGTCTGTTTGGTGTATCGAGCTTAGTGCCGCGGAGACTAGGACGAATATTATCGTAACTGTAACGAGAACACGAGAGCGGTTCACGAGAGAATCTAGTTGAAACGAGACGAAACAAATGGTTGTAGATAAAATAGGTTACGATCCTCGAATCCGTTCGATCTCGCTCAAACACTGACAACACCGACAACACTGAAAAGGACACAGAAAAGGACACCCACTCAAAAAACACCAGGGGAAAAAAGTAACGCACTCCCCTTTCTCGGAAATACATTTATTGCAATTGGGTTATATGTAAAGGTGAAAATAAAGAAGCGATATATCGCTCGAACAGGATATTTAAAAGCTCGTTTGTTTCTAGCTAGACTGCAGATAAATGTGTATTATAAATGAAAGTATGTTTTATCTTGGAAACGCTACAAATTGTATACGTATATCGCGTAATCGTTCTTATTTTATACATGTTTTCCTTTGTGCAGATAGACGTCTCATGGATTTGCCAATATTTTCATTTACCATAAATGCACAAACATCTATTTATTGATTAGCTAATATTTTGTCAAATTTCGAGTAATTTTTTTTGATGCAATTGCCATTACTCGTTTTAGTTGCAAGCCTTCTCGGTAAGTTTCTCGGTACGTCACCGAAGCGCACTCGAGAGGGTAGACAGAATTCTTTGGAGGGAACAAAAGACTCGGTTGAACGTAAACGGAAGTTGAGCCGCGTGGCCAGTGGCGCGCCGCTGAATTGAAAGGGTTAACAAAGGGGACGGAGAATTGCAGGTTTTTCGCGACCGACATATGCAAAGGCACAGGTTGACAAATGCAGCAAAGCGATGCATGTCTGCGGTGCCGGTAAATTAAGTCTAATCGATCATCGAGTTTACTCGACCATTTCCAATCCTTTCATTCAATTATGCAAGAGCTCGTGTTGAAATTTCACCTTGTTTCTCGAATGTACTTAAACGCACGATCGATTCCGCTCTTTTTCCTCGTCTCGTTATCCACTCTAACCGGTTGCCAATTGGACAAGGAAAAATGTACGCGTAACCGATACATCGCGTTATTTCGGTGACGCGAACGACGCGTTAGATACATACATTGACACGCTCGTGGAGCGAACAAAGTTACAGGCATATTCGTGATAGGAAAAGTTGTCGATTCCTGGTAGATTCGACGTTCGTGGTCTTTACGGAGAATTCCCTAGTGACGTCTATAGCCGGGTAAGCGATTGTTTGTTTGGCGTTGGGATTTTTTTTAATATTTACCGTTTGTAATCCAGTGGGGGGAAACATGAATTTCGAAATGATGGAATTTTGTTGGAAAATATATATTTTTTGAAATACGTAACAACGATTTTGAAATTGCAGTATTCATACAAGATGTACGAAATAACGTGGAAATACGTGTGTCGTACGAACGTCGATAAATTGCTGTAGAGACTGAAATTAAAAAGTCTCGTTAGATAAACTGTTTAATCGTGCAAATATTTGCACGACATTAGAATTGGATATATTACAGGTATAACAGAGTCGCGTAGATATAGAAAGACTCAGAAATTGTTTGATCTAGTGTGGTGCACCATTTGTCAGAGAACAATAATCAGGAAGAAGAATGACGGCAGTGCGTTTGCCGTGCATTTAGGACCAGTTGGGCAGATGAATGTTTGAGTGTTGCTTTTATACTTGCAGACATCGGTAGCGGTATGACGTCCAAGTCTATGTCTGTTAAACACTTTGGTTTGTTGCGTCCCGGAACTGTTGGTTAGGCTAATAACGAGAGCGTATGTAGTTTGAAACGTATCTGAAATAATATGAAATTGTACAAAGTCGAGAACATTGTAATTGTTCTCCGCGAAAAGGAACGACGATGAACGCTTAAGAGAATAATGTTCCGTTACTAAATCGGTTGAGAATTATTTTGGTGTTTGTTAGAAATGTTAGAAACTGGTCGCAATAAAAAGAAGGGGATGAACCTAGATGATGTTGTTGGAATGAAAAAACTCAATATTTATATGATATTATTGGATACATAGTACATGGTAGATAGACGGATACATTTACATATTCTCATACCGAGAGAATAATTTCAGTTAGATGTAATTTGGACGGTTTTACGAGCGTTGCAAGGTTCACATTGTGATTTGTGATATACGATATGCGGTAAATTTATGATACGAGACGCATTTCGCTACCGATAAAGCATTACCATTAGTCGGATCAGTTTTATCGTGTCGTTTAAAGTCTGGTGCCGTCTCGAGAAAACACCACGCATTATTTATGAATTCATTTCTTCCTGTTCGGTTGGCCCAAACTGATAAGGACACACCTGTACGTACATGTATCAAGTTGAAATGTTAACAATTTAACGTGAGAAAATTTCGTGTATTTTGCTTAAAGTACAGCTGTAGATTGAATGTAAAAGTACAGAATTCATTCATCCACGAAATATCTGTAAAAATGATCGATTCGATCGTGTGGTAAAAGCTTAGAGCGCGTAATACATTTGTAATTGGAGTGTACATACGCATACGCATACGCATACGCATACGTATCGTGTATCCTTTCTTGGATACGATAAACCAACTTCAGAGGTGGCTGCCTCACCGAGTTAATGCCGTTGTAAATTATGCGCTTCTCATCGTTCCTAACCAAGTACGATATCTCGAAGATGGCGTGTTTTTCAATTTGAACAGTATATGGCGAATCATGTCAAAAGACACGTTTAGCTATTCAACTAAACTCGCGTGATATTTTTAGCGACTTTGGAATTTTCTGTGTCATCCGATTAGTTTTTAATAGTATCATCCAGCAGAAGCAGTGAGTCGATACATATGTATATTGTTTGATATACACGTAACGTCTTGTGAATTATATCGTCCATCTTCTGTCTATCGAAAGACAACCACTTTACACTTTAACTTTCCACTCGTAACAATGACACTTTTAATCGCGTCTTTACACATTCTAACCAAATTTTTAAAACATTCGACAAAAATCATTTCGATCCTGTTTTTACGCGATAAAAATAAGGGTCGATATTTTTGCTTTATGTCTGATTCCGCATAAATCGTTAACAGTTTAAGTAAGCTCTCGAGTTAAAAGTACAGCTAACTGGTGTACACTTTGAAAGGGTAAAATATAAGATCATGTCAAATGTACCATCCGGTAATAAATTCCTAAAGACTTTATCGAGTAACGCGATACAACAGAATGGGAGATACAAGTATCGACAAGTTGTACATTGTAAAGCGGCGCTTCCATCAAACATATCACTGGGCTTTTAAAACTATTTACATTTTCTATGTTACTCGATGTTATTCGATGATTGTATAACAATAATCCATTAATCTCGAGATACCACGAAACGTGGTTGTCCTGTCAAAACTTTTGCTTTAGACATTGTAAGATTCATTGCAACAACCAGTGTAGACTGCGCTTGCGGTACCATTGGCACATAATAAAAGCCTATTATGGCTGAACCAAAACCACGCTAGTAATTAGACTTGTTTCGCTTCGACAATCGCTACCACCGACCGACCTTTTCTTTACCGTTTCTCGATCAAAATTCTTCCTAACAATTCTCGATAGCAAGCCCACTGTGAAATCATGACACCCGCTTTAAGTGACGAATTTTTCATTTGTTATTTCTTACGATGAAAATTCTACTACGATACATTCTTCGATATTATCCTGGAAAATCGTAGATGTAGATTTAATGGGAATTCATTGAACCGCGAGTATCGGTTACTTTTTTTTCTCTCCACTTGCTCTGATCGTTCGATAGAGGAAACGAATATTTGTTATATAAAATTCTTCTGAAGTTATGTTATTTCCGTCGCGTTACGAGCGAAAATATCACGTAGCCGCGTTTCAATTAACAACACTCGCATATTTCGGAGCATTATCGTCGTAAAGAAGCGTGCGTATCGCCGGAAACGTGTGTATCTTATCGTTTCCCTAAACAATTTCAACGAACGCCTCCTAATTTCCACGCGGCTAACGGCTGAGAAACTTGTCCAACGATTGCAACGAATGATTAAATTGCGAAAGGGATCGTATTCGTTGTGAAGGAAAAGTAACTTGGCAATGATATAAATTGTCTGTTGCGATACTTGCTTCCTAAAAAAACTTCATTTCATATTATATTATATATGCATAGTTTGTATCTCGAAACTAAGGAAACAGTCCTGATAAAACTTGGGTTCGCTGACCCTCTGTTTCTCAGATAATAGATAGCAGCCTGTGTACCCTATAGCCTATAGCTTTGCCAAACATTTGTTTATCCTTGGTTGATTCAACAACAATTACGAATACAATCTGAATGGATAAATGGATAAATGAAAAAAAAAGGAATATACGGTATAGTAGAGTACAGGTAGACTATTATATAGCATAGGAATTCCTGTAGGATATTTAATCGTGAAACATTGTAAACGTAATGTTTCAAAAAGAAAACGTTGTTTTGAATGTCCAGCTGTCCTGATATGATGAAGCCATCCACGAAAATGGGGGTGCTAGCGTTGATAGGTGTATTCGTGGTGTTCTACCAATATCATTTGTCTACCGGGGTTCGATTCGACCAGATGAACGACTTCAACACTGGTGGTTCCGCCGAGGACACTGCAGTTCTCTCTCAAGAGGACGTGGAGAGCTATGTCAGGTCGACCAAATTGACGGAAGAAATGGTAAGCCACGGTTATCATTACCTACAACTAGGATACATAGGAAAAGCCTAGCTTTCGACTATGTCTGGTCGTATGTCTGGTTGGGTGCATGTCCTCGAGCAAAAATGAAATTAATAAATTAACGCGGGATCATCTATAATCTATGCGCTTGTAGATCAGGAGTGCGATACGCAAGGTGCAAGAAACGAACGGTCTCAGTCCAGACATCGCGACGTCGCTGATACAAGAGCTGATGACTCATCTGAACAAGAACATGTTGGAAGTTTCCGAGAATAATTCAAAGATCGTACAAGCGTCGTTGTCGTTGTCGACGCCGACACCGACGCCGACAGCGACCGTTTCGAGTCAGCATCGTTCGTCCACGTCCGACGAAACGTCGGAACCGCTGTACATAATCACGCCGACGTACCGCAGACCGGAACAGATACCAGAGCTGACCAGGATGTCGCACACGCTGATGCTGGTCAAGAACGTTCATTGGCTGGTTATCGAGGACGCAACAATCGCCACGAAACAAGTCACCAAGTTGCTACAGAGGACGGGATTAAAGTTTCATCACTTGACTGGTAAATATTTGCAATTTTTCACAGATCTAGAAATTGATTTTCTCTGTGCATTTCTATGATGTAGTAAATCCAAACTTCTTACCATTTATTTACTATATAATATTTACCAAACCGAACCTATACAACTTTGAACCGCGACCGCAAGGATCTTGACGAAAAAGCGTTATATCGATTTTGTAGCTTTGTGGCACGCGCGTTGAATATCCAGCCAACTCCCCGAACGGGAACCGTGTCGAGCTTTCAGCGAGCTAATTTATGTATACATATACGCATATAATACGATGATAAAATACATATATCGGACCTCGGCGACTTGTTGCAGCCCCGATGCCCGACAAGTACAAGCAAAAGAAGGGCGCGAAACCACGGGGAGTGTCGAATCGCAATCGTGGGTTGCATTGGATCAGAGCGAACGCAACGAAAGGTGTCTTCTACTTCGCGGATGACGACAACACGTACGACATCGCACTTTTCGACGAGGTACAAACTAAACGACGTGATTCAATTACATATCTATATCAGATATAATATAATTGTAATTGTTGCTGGCCATGTTACATTTAAACATGTTTGAATTTGTCTTTTCATCGACTGCAACATTACCAACAATCACCATCAATTAAAATCTCGAAACATATTAGCTGAAATGTACCTAGAACCGCGATATTTCACGACCTGGCTTTCATTTTCATTTCAGATTCGTAGAACAAAGAGGGTGTCGATGTTCCCCGTCGGCTTGTGCACCAAGTTCGGTTTGAGCTCGCCCGTAATTAAGAACGGAACGTTCGTTGGATTCTACGACGGTTGGATCGCTGGCAGAAAGTTCCCCGTGGACATGGCAGGCTTCGCCGTGAGCGTAAAATTCCTGCTTCAGAGGCCCAATGCCACGATGCCGTTCAAAGCTGGATACGAGGAGGACGGTTTCCTCAAGAGCCTCGCACCGCTCGAGCCTAAGGATATCGAATTTCTCGCTGACAATTGCACCAAGGTGCTCGCGTGGCACACACAGACGAAGAAGAACGAGCCCAGCGCCCCGCTGGACTTGAAGTTGTACGGTGAAACGAACCTCGTCAAGTTGAAACAGCAAATAGTATGATGTTCGAACCCGCAACGCAGCACGAGAGGGATTTACAAGTTCGATCTAGCTTTACGTTGCTTGGTACGATGCTCGTGAGGGGAATCCTTTTCCCAGTACGATCAACAAAGTGATTCAGTGCCTCAAGTATTGTAATGTACGCTCGGTGTAGGAATGATTTTTCTTTATCTTTCTCTTTTCAAGGTAGCAACGGAAAGCCTTACGTTTACGAGACCAAAGCTCGAGGCTCGCAGTCTTGGAAACGACCGTGACAATTTCCGAACGTTTTCATTTTTAACGGCGAATCGTCCTCGGAACTTCCGATATTATTCTATATAATTACATTTCGTTACAAACATCGAATACTTTATTTTTAAGTAAAGCTATACTTGCAAAGAAATATAAATTTTCTAATGAAATGTGATTGTACGATATCGCTATACTGTATATTTCAGTTTTTGCCAACGATTTCAATTGGAGTCGAAACGTCGATGAACTGTATATGCTTGTTTACGAGACTGCAAGTTCCGGCTTTTATTCTGTTAACCAACTTTGTAGGCGGTGCTGAAGAAATGGTAAAAGACTGGTCTTCTCTGTAATTCGAAATCCAGCTCGAGCTGGACACTGAAGACAAACCAACCAGCCCAATGGCTAACGTATACCTTTGTATAGCCTAGCGTTAACAGTTATTTTATATAATAATATTTAGGTTTTAGTTACGGTAACTAGTACGTTCCCTGCGAGCCAATGACCAATTAGCGCAAAAACAAACAAAAATTCAGTTGGAAGTTAGACAAGCCAAAGACGTTACGATAACGAGCCAGAGTAATCGTAAATCGTAATAGAAAGAATCTACCGATGAGTACAAGATCTTTCATTATCTTCCGTTTCGATTTACAAATCGTTTATTCTACTTTTTTTTTTGTACGTTTGCCCGTGGCCGTGAGTCCGATACACGACCAATTAACGCATATCTTTTCAGAAACACAGAACTCGATGATTGGTAGTCTAGACGAATAACAGTTGTCTTTCTTGTACTTATCGTTGTACGAATATTACATTTCGGTATGTATATTACCGATGAGAGACATTTTGTTTTACAGTGAAATGCTTCATGTATCGGCTCCCTCGCAGACTAGCATTTATTTCAACTGTACAAACACTTTGTTTGTTGAGATTTTTGTTCGCGTCAAATCAGTATTTCTTATTCACCTTGGAATTTCTTGTTTGCATCGCAGTATCTCTGGATAACTAAAACGACGTCGAATCCTCGAGGATTCGATGCTTTCGTTCCGTGTATCGACCATTTCTTTTTCGGTTTTTTTTTTTTTCATTTCTCGGGCTATAATTGAATCACGCACATACCGTCCGATAAAGAGTATCAACGGGGATTCACAGAGTGCCGCTACAGATTTTTTTTTTGTTTTTAATTGATGCCAATGGCACGTAAACAGTAGCAGAGAGGACTTTTGTATAAATATTCGAAACGTTATATATTAATAATAATAATATTCGAAAGCTTCGGGTCGAATGACGATACTCTCGCTCAAAAAAGAAACCAAATGTAACAATTTTAATTTCGATCAGCAGACAAGGTTAGATTTAATCCAAGTATCGACGACTGTAATTTCGTTTTCGTTATGCAGAGATCTCTGTATTTCCATTTGTTTAAAAAAGAATTGCCTATATATATATGTACGATATATGTGTATATAGTACGAAATAGCCAATTACGAATGCAATACGATGAGTCGCTAAATTATCGGCGCACACCAAAAATTACAAAGCTATGCAAGATTTGTCTATGCTTCTTATTTATTTAAGAAATATAATGCAACAATTCTTTCTTTTCTTTTCTTTTTTTTTTTAGTTTTACAAGTCCGTAGCGTAAATATACTTTCTCGCGTGAAAACCATAGCGAAATCTTGTATAGGTTGTTTGTCGATAATTTTGCGATTTGCTGTACAATGAAATAGGCGCAAAAAGACTGTTAAGATGCGCCGAGTTTTAAGGGATTCTTAGAAATTTCATAAGGAATAATAACGCTCGTTATACGGTCCACGACGACCGAAAATCTCAATCGTGGAGTGCAAATATTCATATCGAATGCATGCGTAGGTAGGGAAAAAAGAGAAATACAATGTAAAAATATTTCGAGAGATCTGCGACAACGCTCTAGAATTAATATGAAATTTTTAAACGTCGTCAGTGGAGATGAGATATGTATATCCCAAGCTTGCAGGTATTTCTAGAATATCGAACGTTCAGACACTGTTTCAACTCTTGTCAAACTGGAACGTTCCGGTTTAGGGTTGCAGCAGATCGCTTGATTTGGTATCTTAATATGTAACATTTATTACCAAAGTAATGCGAGTGATATAGGGAAATCTCTGAATACGCAGAGATTCATCGAGAGTTTGTAATTATCAAAAGTCGCTCAAAAAAGTTTAATCTCTCCGCCCCTATTGTTCGGGGGAAAAAAATAGATCTGATGCTAACCGCGTCGCATATATTATATATTATCTTATCTTCTAGTCCAGTAACATCAGCATTGTCGATCGTGCAATTACGTAACACAACGTTTCTTTGAAATTTAGGAAGGAATTTTTAATTCTTCCAAGATTCACCATTGCTGACTTGGCGATGAAACTAGCTGTACGACCGTATAATTAAACGTGCTTGTTCTAACCAAAATTCAGTCGACATTGCACATAGTTTCGTTGAAGACCGTTTAAAACGATACAACGCGTAAACGAGTGGTTTCCAAACTTGTTTTGCGAGGAAGAAATTTATAAAAACAACAACAACAACAACAACCAACAAAGAAAGAAAGAAAAGAAAAAAAAGATTACGTACGTTTATTTCAATCGATTCAAATATTAAGTAAAGTTTATCGACGGCCAAATGAAATGTTTGCAGCCTCTAGTTTGGAAAACGCTGAAATAAATGATTGGATCGATTGTGTTTGTTGATTTCTGCGACTTATCTACGATCTAGTTAAGCGAAGAATATCAGTGAAAGCAATAAACTCGTTAGGTACTGGCTCCTCGCGAGTCGCGTAATTGTGCGAATGGATGCAAATGACTTTAATGATTGTAAAAGTAATGGCCCGTAATGGCGCGTTATACCTCGAAACAAAATGGAATTTGAAAAGTTTGTTCAACCCTTTCGATATAATTTTGTTCCGTCTCTATTCCATTCGTTTCTCTTTCAGAAATTAATTGTATTATATTAACGCTGGTTCACGGAGATTTCTTATTAGATTTCTATTAACGAAGCAATGCTTTAATAAATGAAATCGACGTATGTCAGTGAAATTAATGAATTAGAAGGGTTAGATAAAAATGAATTTGGATATACTTGTTGGAAGATTAATTTTGGTTAGAGTAGGTAGACGTGTTTCGCCAAGAGGATAACGTGCCACTGTCGGTACTACCGTTTAATATTTATCATAGAAAATGAAAAGGCTGCTTCGAGGCCAGCGGTATCGACGGTTGTTTGAATCGTATCCAATAGTATTGCCTCATCTCATCTCATCTCATCTCATTGAGTCGAGTCGAGTCGAGTCGAGTGAAACAGCACACGCGCACTTTGGCTAGTCTAGCCACACGTGCGTGTTCAAAGTTTGAAGGATACATACTTTGAATTTCAAACCATAGAGATATCATAGATAGAATAGGGAGGACATAGGCGTGGCTAACCAAGTCGGAATGTCCTACTGTTAGAAAGAGAAAAATAAACTCGGTATTCTACGTAAGAATCGTGATAATGTAATGAGAAACTATTAAACTAATTGTAATTATAGCTAACACGAATAACATATGCTTTTATTAATGCGAATGTAATTGGTAGACAGCAACACACAGCTACCATGATTTTCTGTCTCTTTTTACCTGTGCTATTACCTCTACTCTATCCGTAATATCTCTATGGAATAGGGAGATTAACTGCAAGGCACTAATAGCTAATTTCGACAATAAATGCGACACCATTTTTCATTTCTACCCTCTTTTTTAAATCTTTTTGCGTAATGTAGACGAGGATGATTTATCGTAAACACTGTTGGTTAATATGTAACATACGATTACCTAATAATCGAGTAATCATGATTAATCAGCAAAGAATAATTATTAATCATGATTAATAATTAGACACGATTAGCTCTAAGAGATTACAAACGTAGATTATGATTAATAATTGCGAGTGATCCAGCGCAGGAGTAATCGCAAAGTACATGAGCATTGTCCAACTCTCTGTGCGATTTTCTAAACCTCTGGATCACGCTCGTGTACGCTATTAGCATTACAAATCGTATTATTTACATCGATCGTCGAACGTATACGCTTTCTAATTATTTTAATCTCTTCCAAAATTTGAAATTCTTCACGAACGTATTCTCAAACGAAGCAATACAGTCTTACCAAATCGCTGACACTGTTTTCGTTGTTGTACAACATTGATATCGATATTTTCGAAAACACCAGGGGTGTACGGATAATCAGTGAATCTCCATTATCGACATGGATAACTCTCGACCGATTCTCTTGGATTTTCTGCTTCGATTCATCTACTCGCGTAGATGAGCAAATTGGAATTTCGAACACTTTGAACTTAACCCTTTCAACCCTCCTTTTTTCTGTTTCTATTCTACTCGTTTCTCTTTTCCAAATTAATTTATTATCAGAAACTGTACCCCAATCAAAAGAGACAATGAGATTTCTCTCTTTTTTTTTCCACATATGTTCCTACCTTATCAAACGTCATTGCGTAAATTGACTGTAAAAGTTTTCATTCGTTCATCTTTTGTTTGATCGTTAGTTAGTTAGTTACTAAAAATAATAATGAACACTTGAAAGATTGATTTTGGAAGCCCTAGATGTATTGCTGCTTCGATTCGTCCTATCGTTTGGAATAATGAAAGCAGAGAATCCGAGAGTTCCGAAATGTTCGTATGGCGAAGATCCCGTCTGTGAAGTACAGTGAAGTACAGTGAAGTACAGTGAAGCACAGTGAAGCACAGTGAAGCACGGTAACGATACTCGTAAAAGAGCAAACGATACAAATAAAACGTAGACGTGACAGTGTAAATGAGAGTGCAATAGAATTATAAGACTGACAATGAGAATGTAAGAAAGGTTTTTCTAATGAAATTTTCGAGGCTAACTTTTGAAAGCGTGAAACACGAAAAAAATATGAATAGCGCGGTTTCGAATAGTAGGATATTAAATATTTGAATAGTCGAAATCCATCCAAACGTTTCGAAAGATTTTTCGTACCGTTTCTACTCGCGTTTTACGAGTATCGTTGTTTCGATCTACACATATCCTAATTATGGCATTAAAGAATATTGCGATACGCGTAAGGATTTCGATTCGTTTTTTATTTTGTTTGTTTTTATACGAACTTTTACACGGTTCGATAAGTACAAATTACATCGATTTATTTTTAGTGGAATCGTTTGCTAGTCGCGTTACGTTGTTAAAGTTACCGTAGAAATGGTGTGAAATAAAAAAGAGAAAGAAACTGTCGCGTATGAGTGATAATTCACGCTTAGTTAGTTATTTACTGTTCCTTATAGAGAAATGTAACAAAAGTAAAAGTAATAAATGATGATGTGATATTCTAATTTACACAATGTCTTTGATTTGTCATCGGCATTTATACGAATACATAAAACTGCTGGTGGAAGGGGTTGCTGCCGCATTACAACACATTCATTCGCAAAATATCAAAATAGTATTTATTGAAGAAACGATACGTTTGGGAATTTTCGAAAAATTTAGTACCGTTATACTTGTTTGAATACGTCCTGAAATTTAATCAACTAAATTTACCAAGATATCCTTTGAGGAAACGGTTGATCGTTCCAATAGAAGACCTTGTTAACGAAAATGTAGAACTGTAGGAAATTCACTATTATAGTAGTAATCGATTCCATGATAATTTGCCACTTCTTTGGTTTTCGAATAAGGAAGCGATAGAGAATATACGGAATTATAAAGTATCGTGGCTCTATAAGCAACTGAGGAATAAGGACCATCGAAACCATGAAAAAATAATTAAGCTGTGTTGTAAACCTTAAATGCTTAATTCCACGGAAAGCCGCATATAAGCTGAACGAATAAATGGGTATTAAGAAATACTTGAACAGTCTGTATCTACCCATAAACTTATTCCAAAAGTAGAATACGTAATGCCTGTTATCCGCCAATACGTACGGATGAACCAGCGTGTTAGAATCGACTATAACAGTTAAACATATCAGAAAACAACTTCCAGAGAGCCAGTGTCTTTGAATAAAGTTAATATAGTCCTTCCAATGATCGATCATATATGGCCATAAGAAACAAAAAAGAAAAGCAGAAAAGTATAATAGCTGCGGCACATGAATAGTAGGAACATGAGCTGTACGATCTCCCACAACGATACCTTTGTTCCAAATGACAAATGTTAGAAACGTTAAACATACTGTCACATACGGAAGCAACTCTACGCACATTCGAATAATAAACTTTACGAATGACGCCCATCCGTGACATTCTTCTATTATCTTTTTCCATAGTAGCTAAAAGTCATACAATATTACACATAAGTAGCTCCATTAAATAATTCCATTTTATCTGCAATAGTAATCTACTTACTTGTAAATAGATTATCGAACTATACTGTTCACGGGAAATTGATTTATGCATCTTATGGTCTAGCAAGTCAAACGCACGCTCCACAGTAACAAATGCAACCCAGATGATATTCGTTTGGCGAATTAACACAGACAAAAAACCTGCATGATAATAATTACAATTTCCTCCTCTAAGCTATACTGTGTCGCAATCCAAGGCATTTCATACGTACCTACGAAAGCTGCGGTCTTAAATTGCTTGCGTAAATGTAACAATAACATTAGCAATACTGTATTAACAGACAAAACGTCCGTGTAATATAGAAAGTGCCAGAAGAACAGGGGTGGAAAGAACATAATGTTATAAGCCACTGCAAGTTTTGTCCAGCTGTTCCATTTTTTAATCCAACGAGTCAATGAAATTTGTTCAAATATATTGTACGCGAGATAGAGATTCATAAATGTACCAAACAAATTTATGCATCTCATGTAAAACGTATTACAAAGGTTCATGGGTGATAAGACGAAGGTTGCGAGTAGGTACAACCCAGGTAAAGTAGTAATTTTTGAATCCCACTGAAAAAATATATATATATATATATATATATATGTACATATACATATATACATTCCTCGAATGTAATTTATTCCTGCGTTTTCTATGCGTCGATTTAAGTAGAACCGTTTAATTATGAATTAGAATGTAAGAGATTAGTAGCGAATCAAAGTGTTAACGTGCTGTAAATGTCTGCGCGGGAAAATAAACAAATTAACAAACAAAAACGTACCTGTGTAAAATTGTTGGCGCAATACTGTAATGTTTGAGGTATATGGAATACCTCGTCAATGAAATAATACGGTTGCACGTGATTCAAATAAACAAATAATTTGGCGACACTCAAGCAAGAGAAGAATATCGAAGATTTTTGTACACGTTCGAAATTCATTTCAAACGGAAGCGCCATTATCTTAATAATTAAAACTAACGAGAAATACTAAACACTACAAACGATGTTAAAAAATTAAAACATTGTACAGATTGTTAAGAAATTGAACACCGACGATTTCACTGAAACCAATTCGCGCACCGAAGATATCGCGATATTGTTACAACGTTCGTTTCGATCGCTTATCAATTATGATGTTATAGTATAAATAATTTCTCGAATAACCACAGTTTCATCGATTTCGGATTGAAATATTGAAAACACGTGTTTCATCGAGTCATAAAGCACTTTATAGTTTACACAAGCTGTGACGTTGACCGGAACTTTGCTGCTCTGCTCTGCTCTGCTCTGCTCTACACTCTGCAGTGTTCTTTCTCTTTGTCTCTCTGAAGTTGACGTCGAGACAACCGTCCGAATCGATAAAGCATCGGCATCGACTATCGTCGAGCGTTATTCGAATAATCTTTTCATTTATATAAATTTATAAATAATAATTGTTATTTGTGATTTGTTCGTTCGAAGAATATGGAGATAGGAGTAGGAATTCACTATAAGGTGTCGAGATAAATAAGTTTATTATAACTTGGTCTCAGATTTAGAATGAGACAGTTCGAATGATGTTGGTTTTTGTTTTCGTATGTAAAAACGTTGGCAGAATACAAATTTCAATACTTTACAAATAAGTAGATTGCAATCACTAGGCAAACTTGTTTGAACGTGTTACGCTTATTACTGAAACGCTGTGCTCGTTTCTTATCTCGATCGACCAAATCTTAAGGAAAGCGTACATAAATAAGAAGAAATTTTTTATGTCACCTTACATCCATTACACTTACGTTTCTTCGTGGTTATCTAATATAATAATTAACAAGAATTAAGAACAGAAGGAAGTTTAATTAATATAGCAATCGTTATACTATATCATTGCAATTGAATCATTAAAAGAAAAAAGAGAAGAAAACTTGAAATAAAAGTAATACACAAATAACGATACGGTACAAATTCAAATTAACGTTTTAATGTAAAATCATACAATATCTTTAACTAAAACCAAAACTGAATTTCATTTGTTCCGATACTCGAATCTCCTACTTAATATATGTATAATATTAATACAGATCGATGGATGACTAAAATAATTCAAGTTTTGGATTTGGCTTGTTTTGGCTTTTGAATGCTCGTTTAATTTGCGCATCAATGGATACTCACAATCAGTTATTCAAAGTAAAGTACTCAACGTTGTCGTCCGACAATCTCTCTTTCTTGATTTTTAACAATACAAAATAATGTATCGAGAAGAATTTAGTTCAGTTTGAAGAGACAAACATCGCGACTAGGAAATTCGTCAAAATTTCCAAGCTATCCACGTCTTTCAACATAGTACTACAGATCTTTTTTTATATACTATAATATGTATTATAGTCGACGGCGAGACCTTTCGCATCTTGAAACACCTATATCCCAATCGTGACATTCGTCCTTTCGAACGGTACAGTTTCTTTCTTGAACACTTGTCCATTATTAAATAAAAAGAAATAAAGATTTTTCAGCCGATAACGTTAGGTGCCTCACTCTGTACAGTTTGCGTACAATTCCTCCTCGATGTATCGTTAGATGGAACTTACAAATGCTATAGTGTATCAATGTACAACGCATATCAATGTTTAGTGTGATTCTATTCTATCCGATTTATTTTTCCCTACGGTTCAGGAAAGTCGATCCACATCGTATTCGTATATCGAACTTTATGGCATTTTTCACCTGAGAATAATTGCAGGATAATCGTCGATGTACTAAATGTAAAATAAATCAAGTTTCGTTCAAGTACAATGCACGAACGTGTGTACAAGCAATTGTTTGTCATTGTTGTACGTGTAAAACATGATCTCTTTGTACATAGATATTATACATAAAAAAGACATAGGCAAACAGTATACTGTATATGTATATATCACGAGTTAGTAGGGCATACATGAATTCGTCATTAATGTATGCATTATAGAAAGCTGAGCAGTTCTCTTGTAGAGCAGGGATCCTAGCGTTGTCTAGCTTCTTAATCAAGTGATATTCATTTATCTCTTTTTACTTCCCTGTTTGTTTTTAATCAATCTAAAACAAATAAATGATGATGTGGATTCTTTATCGTGCTTGAAAGACAGTTTCTTGAAAATAATTCAACTTTGAGCTTATATGTACAAGTACCATTGACTTGTTCTTAACGAATTACAATGAATTATAGACTTAGTGGTAAATATAAAATGATGGTGAATAATCTCGTGGAAAAGTAAATTCGATAAAAGAAAAGAAAAGAAAAGAAAAGCAAAGTAAAGAAAAAAGAGAAATCTTTGATGCTCAAATGAAAATTTGTTAGACTCGTTAAATCTATAGGATTGTGGATAAATAGTTATAGTATAAGTACAAAGCTCTTGTATGCGGAATGGATAACAAATGAATATTTTGATTTATTGCAATAAAATCAATAGCTCGCACCGATATTGAAATGAAAAACATTTCGATTACTCAAAGCTTCTGACACGTAACAAAAAATAAATAAAGATTCGTAATGCATTAGCAACGAGAAGTATCCGAATACGCGATGATAGTTTCACCGTCAGATTAATATTACAAAAATAGTACCATAATGAACGTTGTTAATAAATCGAGATGAACAAAATTTGAATAACGAACTTCTAATCGTACTTCTAGCTGCCAATGGATTAATACTTAGTATTCGCTAGATTTCCTGATAACCTTTCACGCAGTATCAAACGTTGCGGTTTCACAAATACAGTATCGAAAGAGACATATTATCGAGTAACAATAAATCGTTCAACGCACAAACATTTGACAATCATCGTGGGAACTAATATGTATATATTTATTTTACTGTAAACGTATCTCGTCTTGATAAAAGCAATACGGTATTTATTAAGTTGAATACTACGAGAAGTATAGTATCCATCTTGAAGAGAACAAAATAAACAACTTAGCTTTACGTGTAATCATAATTTTCTATAAACGAACGTACAAATTAAAAATGGCGAAAAATGTGTAAATATCATCCTTCGAACTCACGTCTGACTACCTGAGATATTTTGTATCTTTCGGTCATTAAAATTCTCTAAAATGAAAGAAGATATAGACGTATACGCGCGCTGAAAGTACGCATGCTGACACTGAAAGCAATATCTAGAAAAATATCAAAATGTATGCTTAGTTTTACTCAATCTTTTGTCTCTCCTATTGAAACTAAAAACGCGTTAACTAATACTTTTATAGGCGTTCGATTCTAAATATTGCTTTTAATGTTCTCATTTTCTTGAAGAGAGAAAAAACGAGACACTGGAAGAAGCATATTCTTGTTACAATAACGAATCGTACAATATTATCAGCACTTGTGGAATGCCTGCAGTCAAAGTGATTTCAAACGCTAAACACGTACGTTAAAAAATTATATATGCGCCTTTTTCGTAGAGCTACCGTCACTTCTTAAGGAAAGCTCAAAGAACGTTCGTGAATTATTTACATTTCTAATTGTACTCCACTGAACAAATAATATGATACAAGTAATGAGAAAAGGGATATGGCAAAACCCGACTTTCCGAGAAGAAATCAACGAAACTATCGTTCGAGTAAGAAATATGATACACCCTTGATTCTTATGAATTTTAACCGTAATACTATCAGCTACTTTTTAATTAAATGATTCGACTCGCTGCAAAAACAGCGTGTATCTACTGGTTTCTTAGCTTGAAAATAGTTTTTAAGGTACGCAAGATGGGGCAGCTTATACGAAAGCAAGTTTGTGCATGTAACAAATAAAGAGCACTCCTTAGGAACTAACGAGACTTAAGCGTTATACCGAGATCTGAACCATACATATAACCGACTTGTAAAGATTAAGCATATGTATAATTATTTTAATTACAGGTAACCCTCGGATAATAAGATGGTTCGTATCCATAAAAATGTATGCAATAAAACTAACTGCACCGTGTAGATTTGGGATCGTACGGAAAAAGGGTTTGCCAATTTGTAAAAATTTTATATTTGTTCGAGACGGATAAACAACCGTGGTCACGCTTTTAAATAGCGGCGTCAAGTTTTAATTTTGAAATTGCTTTCTGTTCCACAACTCGACAGTGTGAGTCCTACCACATTAAAAATTCGTATCGACTGTATTTCCGCGAGCTTTGAAATGTATGCCACATTATCAAGAAATTACCTGTACGTTTAATGTAGAAATACATTCGTAGTCGTCCGGTAGAATTAAATAAGTCGTTAATTATTCTGAGGCTATAAAAAATCTTAAGTCTATTTCATCACGTAACAAAATTTATCGCGATCGAGAAATAAAGTAACCGAATCTTTATATGACCAACTCGTAAATTCAAAGCGGAATAACTCTTTGTATGGCTTCATTTATTTATTTATATTTCCTCTTTCTTTTTGTAATCATCTTGGAAAGATCGAAACGATCGAGAAATAACCAACATTCGTTTCTTTCCATTACGGAGGAAAATTTTGTTACGCGTAGAATCTCGATGAAATCATTAATCAGTAAAGGACATAATAGGCGGTGGAATTGTAATATAATAGTCCAAGTACTTTAAAACTATAGAATTAATCCTATTGACCAAAGGCCGATATGTAATAGAAACGTCACAAATTTGAGATTGTGCCTGTACACGCTATTCTAACATCTGTACATTGCAAACCAGCTAGATACGAATCGTAACTTAATGTATCGTAATTGTATTGGAATATATATCTTTCTTTTTTTTCTTTTTTTTATTTACTTTTAACGTAAATTATACCGTTTCATCGATCGATTTGCGTAGCAGTTGGATTATGTACAATCTTTTTCTCCTATAAATTATAAATAGTTTAAGGAAAATATCACTTAATCGGGGATAAGAAACTTATACATATAAACGTTAATGTGGACGTACCAAAGTGTATACGTGGTTTCTATAGAATCGATTCTTGTTTCTCGTATGTTTTAGTGGGAAGTATACAGAAAGGATACGTTAAATGTAATACACTACGTAAATTGAACAGATAAATGACAGGCAATGCCACAGAGTGCTCCATATCGTATCTCTAACGAATTATTGCTTTTTGCACTTTTCTCGAAATATTCGGAACGTTATGCATTATTATCCTAAAGGTCATATAAAAACCGCTCAATATCGAAAATCAACCAAGTCGGTTATACATCGTAGCTTATATCCGACGCGCAGTGTTCGATTATGGAAACCGTTCGAGTACGATACTAAACGGAAAGAAACGAAAAAGAACAGAGGAAAAACGAATGTTTAAAATGCGATAAAAGAAAAGAAAAGAAAAGAAAAGGAATTGCACTACGATCAACTCTTCTTGTTATTGAGCCTCGATGTACAAACGATATATCAGGACCCCGAAAAATAGCGTCGCGTGGAACGTTTGCGCACGGTTAAAATGTATTGTCGTTAAAAAATATTATTTTCTCGGGTACATTTGGCAAGCATGCACATCTGGATCGAATCTTCGAGGGAAATCTGGAAGATCGAATCTTCGAAGGGACAATTAAATAAAGGGCCACGGTATACGAAAAATGAATGACAACTACGAGAGGACGGTTCGCACTCTCCTCCAACGTGCCTCCCATTGCGACTTATTTCTTCTAGCGTTCCATCCAAATCCGACTCCAGAACCAACTATGACTTTGTTCAAGTAAGCAAAGTTGCCGTTGTTGTCGTTGTTGTTGTTGTTGTTGTTGTTGTTGTTATTCGTGTGGCCGATGCTCGAGTTAAGACTGGCCATGTTGACTGCGTGCAAAATTCGAACAGCGGACGAAAGACGTAATTTGCTCACCGGTGAACTAAACACCAACTTGCGGCTTTGTTTAGTGTTGCTGTCGGCGTCCCCGCTATCGTTAACGCTATGACGATCGCTCGACTGTTTCACTGCGTAGGAATACTCGGTGCAAAATGATTTCGCCATCGATCATTGTCGATACGTTTGAGACGATATGCCGTTACCAGGCGTCACGTAATCGCCGATCATCAAGCTGGGATTCACAGGATAATGCGAAGTGTTGCCAAGGACCAGCGATTGCTGGAAAGTAACACCAAGCTGTAGCGCGAAAGACCACGCAGGCAGGCGTACACTTTAGTATCCTTTCGCAGATTAAAATCGAATGTTTAGCGAGCTATTGTTTCGTGCAGATGTTGGCGCACCGAACGCTTACGATTGCGTATCGTATGTAGAATTTGGTACATCGGTACACAACTTGGGAAGTAGCTCGCTGAAAAATCTGTATCGTAATTGGTTATCAACTTACCGTGGCTGGAGATGTGAACATGTTCGGAGTGATTCCACCGCCTATTAATTGCGCTGCTTGTGTGCTCGTCGCTGTACCACCGACTCGGCCTCGTCCTGTACTTGAAATCGAACCGGGATGAATGTTTGGCTGACCTCCTGTAGAACACACATACGCGCCAGTGGCGGATAAGTAAATAATATCTTTGTGATCGAGATACATATATTTACACGGATAAAAACACTTGTAAATGGGTAAGATAGATATCCAAAAGTGGTGAATCGTATTTAAATTCGTGTATATTCCTAGAATAAAAAGTTTCATATTAAAAGAACGCGTAATCGTGTTGCTCGTAAATGCAATCGTATTTTTCAGATGAACGTTACCCAATTCTTTTCTTACCTATCGCGAGCAGATTGCCGGTGTTTACTGCTGCGGTTGCGTCCATGGAAACTTCTCCCAAACCGTTGACGGACATTCCATTGACCATGTTGACCGCTTGTCTGGCACCCTGCGCGTCCAACGTTGTCCAATAAGACTCGCTTGGCGAGGTATTATTTAAACCTGGAGGAGGTTGCGCAGCTGCGCCTGTATATCTAAAGTACGGATTTTTTAAATCCAAAGTATTACTACTGCTCTCCATGTTTGTTCCTTCCAGCTTCAAATCTATCGTCACATCATAAGATTGTCTGAAACGAAAAATGTTCAAGTTTTATCAATTATACGCTATTCGCCATTAATCGACGATGGTCAATTTCGAGTCGAGTCGAAAAATTTGGAATTTCACCTTTTGTTCGCGATAAGAATGACTTTTCCAGACAACAGTTGGCCACTTTTACAAAATAAAGGGTTTTCCAAAAGGCAGCGGACTTGGTACCAATGCGTAAGGGGTTCCGTGGGAGCCGTACTCAACCAAACCTGTTGCGTCGACCCGATAAATGCAACATCGAACCAAAATGCAAGTCCATGGCAAGTGCCGCTTTCCAGTATGTGAAAATCGACGTCAATTTCTGGCAAATATATGAATAGTACGTTATGTCAACAGTCGACATCCAACGATATACATCGATATAAATAAATGTTCACCTATTTTATGTAAGTCAGTCTCATTAGCTGTTTGGAAGTCGACTATGTGTCTAACAGATTTAGCCATACAAATTCTTATATCAAAGGTATCGACGATTGGTTGCCTAAAATACTCCTTAATTGCGTTATTTCTCATCGCTGAGAGATCCACTCCGTGGAAACAGGTCTGATACCAAAAATTAGCTTTATTAAATTGTTCCATGTAAAGGTTTTCATCGGAGAACGGTGCAATGTGAAGATCGCCTCGCGAAGGAAACATTCTTCCACCTGTGTCGCAACCGTTCGATGGGTGTTACAACAAAAGAACGTAAGCTAAGGAAAAAATAATTCATACGTGTTTACCTGGAACTAACCACTTTTTTGCATGCAGGTAAGTCTCGAGCATTCTTTCATTGTACAACATGTAACCCATGGGTTCGCTCACTATGCAGTCAACTAGTTCAGGTAACTCGATTTCTTCTATTTTGCCAGCTATCACGACGACCTTATCCGACAAATTATTTGCGGCAACTAATAATTCTGCGTGATTCGCCATGTTACTCGCTTCTACCGCGTACACTTTCTTTGCACCTGCTTGAACAGCGAAGAACGACAATATTCCAGAACCTGCGCCTACGTCTAACACAACTTTGTCTTTGAAATCGGACAGGTTTCCTAAAATCGCTCTCTGGTATGTACTGGTTCTAATGTAATCTTGCATCATGTTTTGTTGCTGAGAGAGATAGCCATAAAACTGAAAGTACTGCATAGCCGAAGATTCCTCGGTTCTTTCGTTGAACGCGGATATGCCCTTGCCATTTTTCAGTTTCAATATTTGCGAGTGAAAGTGCTGAAAGTCTGCAAAAAGAATTCTACGTTTTTTTAATAATATAGAGCAATGTCGTGTGGTATCTTTAGAATGAAATAATTTTGATTATTAAGATATAATAATCGGATATATATACATAGCGCTATAAATTTTCATCGACTTACCTGTTTCATTGGCGAATGTTACCAGTAAGCTATCCATATCCAACGTGAATACGTAACTTCGCGACGATACCCTAGAGCATTCTGTACTCGGTGTTACAGGAAATTCCAGTAAAGTAGTTTTATCTCTGGCTGTCGAGTCTGCTATAATGTACACGAAAATAAGAAAGGGAGAAGTTTAGTCGATAAAAAAATATAGTCATTGTGTTTGTGGTAAATATTAATTGGCAACAAATAAACAACGTCTACCATAATAACAACAATGATCAATTGTATTATGGTAAACAAACGCAAAGACTCTACGATAACTTGTTTTTTTTTTTAGAAAATAAAAGATATCGATCACGCAATCTCGAGTGAAAAGGAAATAAGAATTGAAATCTATTCGACGAAAAATGAAAGATTGTGCAAACAAAGAATACAGCTAAAAATCGCGTTTATAAAATAAGACGTGCTAAATTAATACGTAATAAATAATTGAAGATACGTGTCTCTGTTTCTTTCGCATAATTTGCTCGAGAGCCAATAAAAATATGTAATTTCCAACGATAGGCGAATCGCAACAAGCGGCAAGGATACTCGTTAGATTTTAACAAAGAAAACTGGTAAACGGTCGTTCCGAGTGTGGTTATGTTGTTCATCCCGGGACGACGCTAACACGATTCACAAAGAATAATTTATCGAGTGATAAGTACATACCTGCAAAGAACTCAACGCTCAGACCTTGAGGATCATAATTGATATTAAGCGTGACCGGCTTGTTGTATTTAGGTGTTGACTGTCCATTGTTTGACAAAGTCGATACTGTCACCGCGCGAAACACCTTCGCCATTTTTACCATCTTTATACCGCGTGCGTATCGTACGCTGCAGTTCTGTAATCTGTTCCCACGAGCTTCCTCCTTATCGTGACGTTGTTTACCGGGCAATCGTTGGCCAAGAAACAAGTACACGGGATATCGTTTCTCTGGATGGAAATCAGACGAGAGATATCGAGAAAAACTTGATCTAATTGCAATTTTTCACGTTCTCGCACAGTACCATCGACTAACCACCCCCCGGCGCGTATTACACACGCGCACTAAGCTCACTAGCGCACTGAATATATACCTAATTGAACTCCCTAGATATTCGCGATAGCACATGAATCGACAGGGACATTCCAAATCCTAAATCCTAAATCCTAAATCCTAAATCAACCATTTTCGTTTACGATCGTTTGTTTTAACGTGTCATTACTGACTCGAATCTCATAGTCCAAAGTATCGACTTTGCTTGCCAGATCATTTTCCTTCGGAACTAATCAAACTCGAAAAACAGGATAACGAATAGGAGGATTGTCAATGGCGGATTATTCCTCGTTGGGGCATAGATTAAAATGAAATTTAGAGCTATCCAGCTAAAGAAAGAAAGCTGGCAAGTTGTCACCTAGTATCGTAAATTGTAAAGCAAAGAAAATTGTATCAAGGTAGTTTGGTCAAAAATGATAACAGTTCAGATCGTCTGATACTTTGAAAATGATTGATTAAAAGGAAGGTGGTATCGGTGGTGGCATCTTGTAGAAACAATAGAAAGTATTTTCACTAGAAAGTTGGGCGTTTTTCCGCCGATGACGCCACTGGTACTAAACCTAGTTTCGGTATAGTTCAATGATTGGCTGCTTGCTACCAAGGATCGTTATATTTCGAAGCTAAAAATTCGTAAGCTCATTGTATTCGTCAGCCGCTCACAGCGAGCGGTAGATTTTCTGGACGCACCTATTGGTTCTTGCGGAGGTTTCCACTCATCCTATATCGTTCAGCCGTGATCGTCTCGATATACGTATAGGTATAGTGGTATAGTATAGAGTATAGTTTATGCGAGATAGCGAGAACACACAAATAATCGGTGCGTCGAGCGATTATCGATGGAATAAATCGGCTTCGTTTATCCGTGAGATTTTTCGATAGAGTTTCATTGCGGTGCGGTAGGCTGATTTTCTCTGTCTTTTGATATTGGCCGTGTTCACCGAGTGCGTCGTAATCATGAATAATAGGATCGTCAACGCGAAACTGGTGGAATATCATACGAACATAGTAACAGTGTAATTTAGAAATGGAAAATTGAATTAAGGCATCCAAGAGTGGACAAATGATTTTCATACACTTTTAGTTCGCGTGAACGAACAAAACGGGTGACTGTTGTCGTCGCGTGTCTCGAACGTGCAGGCGAAACCGTTTTCGAACGCAGAGCTCAGCATGGTGATACGGTAAATAGTTCATTGTTTCTGGATGCCTAGGTTAATTAACGTTGTTTGGACATCGCGACTCCCTCGCAATCTTTACGCTCATCGATCAGCATATTTTCTCCGCCAAGCCGGTCGATTTGTCGATAATTTTTCGCTTCACCGAACAATAATAAATATATATACCCTGTATGTATATACATATATATACATGTATATACATATATAATTACACGTATACATATATAATACATATATACAGGGTGATAAAAAAGAGGGTCGAAAAATTTAGATACTTCCAAGTATTCACAGAGAGGAGTAAAATAGCAATCAACATAGACCCCAAAATCAATTTTGTCTGTTTTAGATATTCAATTTTTCATCTAGAGAATATTACAAACTCTCATTTCTAACCACTCTGTATCTTAACTCTTTGCTCTTGTCAAGCAAACCACAATATTTGTGAAAAATGATCTATGCATTTTTCTTCTGTCAAAGATTGGCATGTACAGGTCATAAATCGACTTATATTTTCAAATAGTTTCTCCATGGCTTGTACTATTAATGCATGAATTTTTCTGTTATTTTGAGTCCACTCCATCGCTTATCATATTTGTATATTAAATCTCCTCTTATATATCTCAATTTAATCAATTATATCAACGTCTGTTACTCTTTATGGTAATTATTACAAGCAGCTAAAGTTTTAGATCCTTTCTTTTATTACCCTGTTTATTTTTTTTTCTTTGCAATGCCCCCTAAGTAATATTTCTTTGAATAGTAATCGTTTTAAAACAGTGTCAAACATTAATGGAAAAAATAAAAATTCCATTCGTTCATTGTGAATTTGTGTGTCATAGCAATTGTGTAAAATATACTTTTACTATAAGAAATAAAAAGGATAACATCTACTGTTACCAAAGAAATAAATGAATATATCTCTTATTTAATTAAAGATATTTTATTTGGAATTTGTTAGTATGCAATAAATATTTCTATGTTTTGTAAACAGTGTCTTGTTATTTTTTCCAAGAAACACAAACATTTTATGGCAATGTATACGAGATATTCACAGAATTATGTTTAAAGTTTTTATTGTTATGGTATAAAACTACTTATGTATGGAAGTTAGGATATAAGGATAAACGTATGCTTTGTCCGATTTGTATTTCATTTAAGTATTCCTTGAATTTTGGTTAAATAAAAATATTGACTGCCATCCGTTGTACGTATCCCTTACAGGTAATAATACATAAACTTTGTGTATATATTATTCGTAGAATAAAATGAATTGGAAGTATTTAGATTTGAGTTTTTGGAACATGGAAATTGAAATGATAATGTTGATAAGTTGCGTGACATAAGTAAGTCCGATACAGAGCCTGCCTCTAATAAAAACATCAATGTGTCACGATTCAAAGACACCGGTAAAATAGCAACCCATGTAACAAAGTCCTATCCGTTCAAGATTGTTTAATTTATCTAGATGAAAAGCATGAAACGTTTAAATAAATGTCGACCAAAAGATTTTGCATGCATCAGTTTCCATGTGTAGCCATTTTTAGAATAATCTCTATCTTGTAGATAGCGATACGAACAATTGGTGCAATATTTTGATAAGAATGGATACGTGGATAAGATAATGAATCAGCTGTTCGACTAATGTAACGAGAGAATATGCGATAAGCATTTATTAAATGCAATGAAATCTCGCCAACATCAGATTCTTTTATGCTACCTACTTTAATGGAGTTTTTTTAGCAGAGGATCATTTATACATTTTCAAACAAATGTATTCAGGAAGTTGGAAAATGTTATATTACGTATAAGAACAGACAGTTTTCTCTATGAATGAATACAGATGTAACAAATTTATTATGATTTAGCGTATGAATTGCAGCTCAACTATCTATGCATATTAAATCGATAAGTGTATTTTAGTCGTCTGTAATCGTTCCGTTAATCTGCTTTATTTCTTTACATTTAGAAAGATAGAATAGGAACACGTAAAAATACATATATAATATTTCGGCGACGATCATTACACTGATTGTTTCTTATTACAGATTGTAATTACCAATTCGCAGCTTCCCGCGTTGCACTTGCTCACATTTGCTCAGCCGCGCGAAGATACATAAGACTTTTTGTCCTTATGAGTGTCTTTTGAAGTACGGTGGAAGTATTAATCTGTAAATTTTACTCAAAGGAGGATGCCAGTAACTAAACGTATTCCATGTCCCTCGCGGTAAGTAAGCGGTTTACGTATTACGTACTATAGGCCAAAAGCAGAGAAATCTATAGATAGATGGCTTAGTATTATACATATATTATAAATGTTCTTTACATCGTCTACAAAATTGTTTCAATTACGTAACTTTTCTTTGAAAGTTTCCTTTCCTGAAAAATCATTCATTTCAATATTGATTATAAACCACTCTATTGTTCTTTGCACTTTGACGTATAACAACTATACTTTCTGGCTTACAACAACTGTTACTGACATCCACCTTCTTAGTAGCGGGGTACCAAGGACAATTTATCATGTATAAATCTAGATACTTCCACCATATAAGAGTGTTGTCGAAGGAGGATGCTTCTTTACTTCTACATTTTTATAAGAGTAAATTATTATTGCAACTAAATTCGTTAACGCTGTTGTTTCAGAACTTACCTTAATATAGTTAATTATACAAGCAATGAAAATTTAAAAAAAGGTTTTCGATAACGTCGCAATAATTAATTTATATATGTTTCCAGATCCGACGGTGGTAGCAGTGAAAGTCCATTACTTGTGGAAGAAGGAGAAACAGTTGGCGCGCCTCATAGTCCACGCAGTAAACATAATCATAGTCATTCGCATGCTAATCCTCATAGGTCCCACAGTTATCGTCATGAAAAACCAAAACAGCTAGTAAAGTATGGAGAGCTAGTTATTCTTGGGTAAGATTCAATTTGTAAAGGCATTCAAATTTCCGCGTACATACTAACGTAACGGAAACTTGATGCGCAGATACAATGGATTCCTTCCGCCAGGAGATCGGGGAAGAAGAAGGAGTAAGTTTATTCTGTTTAAGAGGCCTGTACCAAATGGCGTAAAACGCAGTAAACATTACATTGTCAAAACGCCTCACAGTTCGCAAGCTATTCTCAACACAAAACAACATTCAATTTCGTACACGTTATCCCGAACACAAGCCGTTATCGTGGAATATACCGAGGATGAAGGAACGGATATGTTTCAGGTGAGCTAGTATAGTTGGGATCATTCGATTTTACGAAATATTTGATTACTCCTATGATACTTATCTTGATTTGGTTATAAACGATACCGTAGGTCGGCCGTTCCTCTGAATCCCCGATCGACTTTGTCGTCATGGACACGTGTGCAGGCGGTAGCGACGGATCTAACGAAGGACGCGTTGCCCAAAGTACAATCAGCAGGTTTGCTTGTCGAATTTTGGCTGATCGGTCGGATCCCAGAATCGCAAGAATATATGCCGCAGGTTTTGATAGTTCGAGAAATATTTTCTTAGGGGTGAGTTCCGTTACGCTGTATAGTAGTCCGGTATCATGTTTCACATAAAAATTCGTTTTAGGAAAAAGCAACAAAGTGGCAAGAAAATCGCGAGATCGACGGACTTACAACAAACGGAGTTTTAATAATGCATCCACGGGGTCAGTTTTGCGGTGGTGAGGCACAGTGCGGCTTTTGGAGAGAAGTCAGCGTAGGCGGCGGAGTTTTCTCGCTAAGGGAGAGTCGAAGCGCCCAGCAAAAAGGAAACGTTGTGGAGGACGAGAACAACATACTGCAAGATGGAACGCTGATCGATCTATGCGGTGCTACGTTACTTTGGAGATCGGCCGAAGGTCTCGCAAAGTCTCCGGTAAATATACTGGATCTACAATCTGTTAACCTTTATATAGATTCAGGATAGTCCAATTGGAACTCATATTCTTCTAACAATTTATGACCAAGTGATTCATCGTGGATGTTTCGTATAGACAAAACACGATTTGGAGGAATTAGTTGACGCTATAAATGCTGGAAGACCACAATGCCCGGTTGGTTTGAACACGTTAGTTATACCGCGTAAAGCAGCTGCGGACTCGGCTCAACAGCAACCATACGTGTATTTGAAGTGTGGACATGTGCAAGGTCACCACGACTGGGGCCAAGAGAAAGACAAAGCGACGAGAAGATGCCCGATGTGTCTGGTAGCTGGTTCGGTAGTTAAACTTTCTATGGGAATAGAACCCGCGTTTTATGTCGATTGTGGCCCACCAACTTACGCGTTTAGGCCTTGCGGGCACATGGCTACAGAAAAAACAGTAAAGTTAGTATTTCTTATTGTGTAATTTAAGTAGCAAACAGAATAATGAAAAAGGAAAAGTATTTGATATTATTTTTGTTTCAACGTAGCGTAATATTCCGCGTTTACTCGTACAGGCCAGAATATATTTACGAAATTACGTATTTTCTCGTTGCAGATATTGGGAAAAAGTCGCGATACCACATGGTACAAATGGTTACATTGCAATTTGTCCATTCTGCGCAGTCCCTCTCGAAGGTACACCAGGATACGTGAAACTCATTTTCCAAGATAATGTAGATTGAGGTTTGTTTACCGTTCGGTCGTGAGTATGTGTAGAAATCATTAACTTCTTATAAAGTGCAAGGATTATTAAAATTAATAAAATGTAAATAATCTTAATACAACTATATATAACAAAGTTCTGTTCTTCTTCCTTGATATAAATTTAAGCAAACTTTTATATGTACAAATAGCTCCGCATTGGTTATTACATAAATGCCAACATAAAATAAATATCCCTTCTTATACAGTATTATTCATATACGTATTATTTTTTTAAGGCATTATCAAATTGTTCAACTCTACGTGTAATTTTCGAAAAGAGCATTTTTATTTCGTATCCTTGTTCTAGCTCTTTTCTCTCTCTCTCTCTTTTTTTTAAATTAGTACGAAACTTTGTTACTGTTGTTTATATTTATTTTTCATTAATAGTTAACTCGATACCCTACTACATTATAAATAAAAAGTTCTTCGTTTAAAGATTCAATCTTTCACGGTTTTAATTGTACTTGTAATTTAAAAATGAGATTGCGAGAATCATCAAGGTTACATCGTTTCAAACAATAATTACTTAAACGTATATATTTTCGAACATGTCTTCATTTTTATGCTCGTATAATAATCACATAAGATCAAGTAATAATATTATAAATATGTAACATCTCCAAAAGACATGGAGTTACATCTGCGCTAATTCTTATGTACACGAAACAGTAACTACAGTTAAAAGTATATCGGTATATCAAGATCGAATTGATTAAGTGTATTAGTATATTAATATCTAGTAAATTCAATCCTGTTCTTACATTAACAGGAATGTGCCTAGTCTCACACAAAGATATTTTTCTTCTTTCCTATATTGGTGTTATTTGTTTCTCGGTAATATAGTGACGGATAATGTACAAATTTAGTGTGGTAATTTGCGAATTAGTCTATCGAAAAGAAAAGAACGATGTTCAGCGAGCGCGATTTCTGTTTTTACATGTAATGTGCACAAGTAAGCACGTGAATTTCATACGAAGAAAATGATTTAGGATAATTATTAATGACAATCAGTTTTATCTTTTCCGATCGTTGGACCCACTACGACGAGAACGAGATCGTCGACTGCGGCTATTACTGCGCGAACGTTTCGATCTGAAATAAAGCAAAGCAAAGCACGTATGGATATATCGTGTAACTGAAATGTTTATACAGTGCGACAGAAACAACTGGAATAATCAAGAGATTCTACCAACCTCTTTCCACGACTGCGGCTTCGAGATCGCGACTTTCTCCTGTCTCTGTCTCTGCGTTCACGGTCTCGATCCCGATCCCGATCGCGATCGCGATCGCGGTCGCGGTCACGGTCTCTGTCGCGATCGCGATCACGATCGCGTTCACGGTCACGGTCACGGTCACGGTCACGATCGCGATCTTTTTCTCTGTAACCCAATCCTCCGCGTCTGCTGTCGGACCTATCGCGGTCCCTGTCGCGATCGTCCCTGTCTCTGTCTCTGCGTCTGTCGAGCAACGACTCCCTCTTCTCTTTGCGTCTGTCTTCGACGGTTTTCTGAAGTTCCGCCAATTTCTCGCGGATCTTGATAAAGCCCAGATGCAACTTGCCGCCAAAGTGATCGGCCAGTCGTCTGTCGTTGTCGTGTATGCCAAGATACGCGCTGCACACCTCGCAGACTCTCAACTTTTGTTGTTGGTAACTGGACGCTGGCATGCTGTTACGATACTCTTGTTCAGCTTCGTTCTTTTTCTTACGCAGCTCGTCTATCTCACCCATCAGTTTCATCGATTCCTCCACGAAACCTTCCTCGCCAAGCTGCTCAGCCTTAGCCAGCTTTTTACCGATTTCCTCGGCTAGAACGTGAACGTTGTTCGCTTTCGCTGCTACCTCGGCGCTCAGCTCTTCTTGAGTCTCTGCCAATCGTTGCTTTGCTTGCTCCGTACGACGGTCACAGTCGGCGATAAAATTTTGCAAATGTTCCATGGCCTTGAAGGAAAGGAAAAATCGTTGTTATCGTATTTGTTATCCAGGGATCGAAAGTATAACTGTAACAAGCTTTTTCTGAAAACTGTTCTTGTTCGGCTTACTTTGTATCGTAATATTAGCTACATCTAAAACGTTTACTACGAAAAGAGGTACTCACATCGATATCGTAAAAATGGTCCTTCTTCTTTTGCGCAGCTTCGTAGTCAGCCCGTAGGGCCAAGTCGTGAATCTGGGGGCATTCTCCCAGGTCCATGCGCTGCGATTTACAAACCATTTAATATTAGATTACGTCCGTCTAACCGTGTGACGCCTCACTGGTTTTATTTATGTAATCCCTCCCAACGTGTTCTATGAAATCTTACAGTTGTTTAATCTCGCTGTTTGTAATACGAAACTGAATCGATAATCAACAATTACATAAATAATTTAGACTATGCACGGCAACAACGACAGAAGTTAAAACCCTAATTGTCCAGAAAGATATGATGCTTTTAATAGAAGAACTTACAAATGGTTGCTCTTCTGCTAATGCGCTTACAGACAATGCATATGAAAATATACAGGGTGTATCCTAACATACAGAGTTCCATTTCAGCCATTACAGTGGCGGATTAGGAACATTGGAAAGCAATGAAAAGAGTTGGTAAAATATATTCGCTATATTCGAGCTTCTTTACAACTTACCATGACGATAGTTTATTGCAAAGAAAGCTGATGGAATCGATTATAACAAACTGTACAGACTGTTTGATTTTATTTGAAAACTTCAAGTATCAAGGTATTTGTTTGTACCTGCTGGACTCGTATTTATAGGTAGCCTCGAGTTGTATAAAATGTTTGCATAAACCTTTTCGTTGTTTCTGTGTTGCATGCCAGGATATAGCCTGTATACGCTTGTACATATATTTCTATATACATATGCATATGTACATACATATTATATATTGACCGACATATCATCTTGTTCTTGGACAAAGTAAAAATGCAATTTTACAGATAAATATTTTGTTATGTTCACTTACAGAGTGGCAACACCTCTCCGCCTGACACGACAATGCGATGGCAATGAAGCTACAATCAGCACACACCTTAAGTTCATATGTTCAATGTCTATGAAACAACTTATAGCCTAATAGTTTATTATACTATTTACGTAGGGCACGCATAGGCATTGCCTTAGATGAATCAATTCTAGACGATTTAGAAAACGAGTTCAATACGTACATCCAATGTTGAAGGAAATTTTTCTAACAGAACTGGCACACGCTGTACAATTCCGCCTAATACTGTCTCTCTTTCTCTTTCTATTTCTATTTCTCTTTCTCTTTCTCTTTCTCTTTCTCTTTCAGCTTCATGCCACTTGTCACGTTTTCTCGTGGGCATCTTGTCCACGTACTATTTTTGTTTGTTCTTTTTTTTTTTTCTTTCTTTCGTTTGTTTGCAAATTGCCAAAATAATTTCAACGTTAACGGATTCTTCTGGTCGATTTTCAGAGATTCTCGCTTTTTAAATAAAACAATGATTTCATTTTTCGATCGTTTGAGGTACGCTACACCGTACATTCAAAGTTAAGTAAACGTAAATTTTCTTGGAATATCGTATCGACGTTTTAAAAATTCTCAAGTGTTGTACACCGCCTATCAAATGATATTAATTGTAAGATATATCGATAACAACACCCACTTGGATTTGAACATTGAACGAATCGTTTTTCATAAAATTGGGCTCGTATGATTCGTATTTAATGAAATAAGAATTACGTTAAGATAGCGAAAGGTTTGAAATCCAAGTGTTGATATGATAGTACGTAGTACGATATGCTGTTTGAAAATCGAGGCAAGGTACACCGCGAGACCGAGATCAAGGAACCGAGAAACTATTAGATAGATAGTAGGAATGATCGGTAAAGAAGCGTCAACGTTTACGATAATATTACTTAACAACGAGACTAACAATAAGACGTTTCTTGGCAATTCGCATGGTTCTTACTTACAGATCACTGCCTCATTTCCTGTACCCGTTACATCTCCCGAGGATGAATACATTTTCACGCATACTTTCAAAGTAAACTTCATTTCTACCTGCCGTAAACGGCATTATTAGTAAGAAGCGACAATAAGAGATCGTCTGATGAATCAGCAATGGCGCTTACTCACCAACTTTAACAGGCCATTCGGGGTCTCGGAATTAATATTCGGTACTCAGCCTCGCCACCGTGGTTTTACCGGTAGAGGGGCTGAGGTTAAACCGTCCGCCTTTATTCTCAATCGAATTAATACCTAGTACTTGAGATTATGTTAAGGTGTAATCAAATTGTAGAATGTAATACGTACGTCCTCTTCGCTTTCAGTACTTACAGTAACGCGCGTGTCAGAGCGACAAGTACAACACGACATATGAGCGGACAATACTCGCAACAATATTGTACAATGGATCTGATTGGAATTGCTTTTTCCAGAGACTCTGGAAATAGAACTGTAGGTACATTGACATTAGTGAACCTGTATATCGGTCGTCCTCGCGAGTATTTGCCACAAGTACAATATCACGTCTATACATACATATGTATGTAGTATTTAGTTATTTCTCGCTTTAGCAAACTTTCGATACTTTGTTCTCATTTTCTCGTAACTTTGCTGTTGTCAATTGTAATTAATATTTTAGCGGTTGGTCGATGCAAACGGTCGACCACTAACGATAACGATAACTTGGAAAACTTGATGAAACTTGATCGATCTTTAATTCAACAAACACTCTTCGGACCAATTCGCACGAGATGACAAAGAAATGCGCGAAGCAGTACTAACGTAAACGCTATACTAACAGAATAATTATTTAAGAATATCACGTCATTGCTTTCATTTTAGAATGTCGTTTCTACTTGAACCTTATGGTTTGATCGTCTATCATTTCTTTTTCTTCCGAGTATTATTCTATTATATTATTTCGCGATTATTACAGGGCCGTTACCACAAGTGTAGTTTAAGTTTCGGTTCATTCCCAAGCATCTTATAGGGGAGAAGTGGGATAAGTCTACGAGTCCATTTTTAAACTGTCGTTTACATTTCTTTTTTTTTTTTTTACCCTCGATAATAAACAATCCAATTTAAATGGTAAATGGTAAATATACATCTAGAATAAACAATAATCTACCGTTATCATCCCACTTTCTCCCTGGTTTAGGAAAATCTCAAGTCCCTATTATTGTAGTTTGCTGCCCCGTATTGCACTTCAACGCCTATCTGGTGTGAATTGATCGGTATCAATTCCTGAAGTACATTACGGAAATATACGTTTATACTTTTATACAGATACATATACGTGTCGCAAAATTGATTCTTATCGTCTAATTTCTTGTACGATCGATAAAATTGATCAGACCGATTGGCACTGATGAAAAAAAGCATTGTGCGCAACCTATACATCGTCCAACTTCCAATTAATCATTTCACTCACTACGCGTTCAATTATAAACAATTTTTCTGTATGTAGACATTTGGAACAACTAGTTAATGTATACACACCAGAATATACCGTTTATGTTAATGCATTTCTGTCGTATGTATACAAGGTAAACAAAAATATTCAACTTTTGAAACAACAACAACAAATCCAAACTACACTTACTTGTAACGTTATTAATCGTACGTTAAAAATTATGGTTACACGATCCAAAGCGACGATAAATAGTAATTATAAATTTTGATATTACAAATATTTCAGACTACAAAATCAATTTGAATGTTATTTATATAACTTCATTGAATATTAAATAAAAGAAAAGAAAAACGGTGTATAAATAATAAGATAGATTTGCGTTGATACGTAAAGATAGTACAACACCTTTTCCATATCCAAGACAAAACAAGATAATTGTTTGTATCGATAACAAATCAGTTTAAAAAAGCTGGAGCATTAAACACGTGTCCTTAATTTTATACATATATTTGTATACTAATGTTTATGTATTTGTTGCATAAAAATGAGTGTTTTGTGAATACGTGCATCCTTAAATGTATTAATAGAATTTAATTTAACTTCAAAATATAAGAGGTATTTTCATTCTCCAAAATAATTGATGCCTGTATTTTGAATTAAAGAATAAACATTTGGTAAATTATGGAAATATAATGCCTTATATTCTATGTCTTTAACCGTTATATCCATATTAATTTAATTATGTAAATTCAAACGATATCACAGTTTTATGAACTTTAAGCAGACTATAATGCTTATCGAGTAAAGTGATTATTTTGCAAAAAAATATATAATTATTAAGATTTATACGCAACTAGCGATACTATCCACTATCTGCCGTTTATACATATAATTCTAATAATGCTAATTAACATTTACAATAAAATATAGATACGAAGCTATATAAGCTGTATGTGTATATATGTATATATATATATATATATATAACTATATATATATACATAAGTATAGTTTTTATATATATATATATATATATATATATATAATTATATTTTTCTATGCTCGATAAAAGATACGTGTCTTTTATCAAACAAAGTGACTAAGACACAAGCAAATGAATTTGCTGGTTGAATGGAAGCAATTGAATCATGTAACCAGAGTAGATCGGTAAGATACAAAGAATAACAGAAAAAATTGAATGCATCGTTGAATGTACCAATGTTCGATTACTTTAGTGTTCACGTCAAGTAGTAGAAAGAGAATATACGAAAATGCTCTACGATAGCGCATTAGTGCCAATGGTATGTCATTTATATTCCAATATGTGGCAATTGTAAAGTGCGCTCACCGTTGACGATAGGATTTCATGTGGACAGCACGCCAGCAAAAAGCTCTTGCAGACCTTTGGATCGGAGTACTTCACTTGAAATTTGTTATTTTCACCTGAAAACGTGAAAAGCACATTAATAACAGTGCCACTTAATTAGATAGATATCTGTGTAACGGTAAGGTGTAGGCCACCATCTTGTATTTTCGTAAGGGACTTGGAGCGACTGTAAATACTGGTTCGGAACATGGAATATTTTTACTTTCGTTGAGAAATAATTGCGCTTACCATTCCGTCCTGTGCCCATTAACTGATCAAGCATAGCTCGCATTTGATCGTGAGCCGTCATTTTTGCGTGAAAGTGCAATGTATCCGATGCACTGTCAAAAACGAAGGAGAGTAATCAGCCACGCCGTCAGCCTTCGAGTTTCGAGTTATCGTCCAACTCGTATTTATCGATCAAAAGTATGTATCGTCAGCCACTGACCAGAAAGTAGACACAACTTTCGAACGACACTGTACCCCGACCAATGGCTGTATCCAGAACAGAAGGGCCACCGCTCGCTAACGCTACAACACGCTTTGCGAGTGGGCGAGCTTACAAATGTTTCGCTCCCGAACAATGGCGACCGCTCCTTGGTAGCAGCCAATCACTCAACTACAACTATGTTGAAGATTTAGTACCGGTGGCGTCATCGCTGGAAAAACGCCCAAGTTTGTAGTGAAAATAGTTCTCACTGTTGCTGCTAGATGGCGTATGGTTTAGTTTTAGTGGCGCCACATATTTTACATAATCATCCGTTTATGTAAAATAAAGAATAATTGAATAATGGTATCAGTGGCGCCTTATCTTATATTACATAATAAATACTGTCTAAATTTTTCTTCTTCAAACTTTTATTTACATTATATTTTACTGTTTATACTACGAAAATCGTAGTCTCGTTTAAGAAACGTCTACAAATCATTTGTCGAAAACAAATTTACGTAAATGACGGTGCGATAAATATATCGATATTTACATCGAAATGAAATAAACGTCAATACAAAACCGTAAACACATAATATTATGTAATACGTCACATGATTACGAAACAATTGTTTACGTTCAATTTCAAAATATAATGTCAATATGAAATTGTCTTTTTTTTTGTTTTCGTTTTTAACTCGGTAACATATCGCGTCGGGTTATGAAACATAATTTTACATTCAGAAATTCTTGTATTCATACCAGCGCTAACTTACATTCGATAAAGTAAAATGGTTACCGTACAAAAACAGATGGTTCACGCTCGTAGAGAAACAAATTGATGGAAAACATCCAAAATATGAGGATCTAGATCTGGCGTAAACAGTAATGTTTCTAGAGTCGACGAATACTTTTGAACTTGTTCGTGGTGCTGTAAAAAAATTTCAAGAGAAATTTATGTCGGCCAAAGGTACTCGTTATTCTACTTTTTAATATAGATTAATCTGTAACTTACAGTTAGGAATACTTGCTGCAATCTTCCTATTGTCCACTTGTACCAGTGAGTATTATAATCTATACCATCGGTATCGCAACGCACTAGATGTTCAGACAAAATCATTATAAAACGCTGGAACAGAAATGAACATGTATTTAATTCAACTGGATTAAACATAACGGTAAGTTTGAAACAATTTGTACCTGAAAAATGATTAGAAACAGATTTTTCTGATCTGCTTGAGCTGCTTCTAGTTTCTCCTCCATTCGTTCTACAACGTCTTCCGATGGTTTCTCTTTATTTCTGTCTTTGTTATTATCTTCGTCCTCCGATGACGATCCTGATCTACTTTCCGCTCTTCTCAACTTCTCTCGAGCTTCCGTCAGTTCCGTGCTCAACTTGGTCACGTGTTTATTCTTTTTTCGTATCGTCAAATGAAGTATCTCCCAAATATATAACCTGGGGAAAACGTAAATACCGTCAGATCGAGTACGTTTTACCGTCGCGAATTATTATCGTTAAAGGTACGATGAGTACTTGGTAAATTCTGACGCCATCTCCTTCGAAAATATCCAATTGGCAATGGCGCTGCATTCGATGATACCAGTCTTTAAGAGTTTGTCTGTTAAAACTACGATCATTTGATAATGATTCTTCCACAGTGCGTACATATTCCTTAAAATACATATCTGTGCCTCCTCCGTTTCTGCGAGAGCCTATAAAAATAAAAAAAATCACTTTTTAACAAATGTTACCCACTTGCATCGAATCGACGAATAATATTCATTCGATGTGGCACCTTAAAAACACTGTGAAATTTTCCTATCGCCGCGAAGCTATGACTAAAGCTTTTAGAACCTAGGTTCAATAAAGTTTGTACAAAAACGTCGATTTTCAAGGGATTGAAATTGTTGGTTTCTTCGTTTTCTCTGGGACCTGGCAGCGTGTTTAATACGTTGAGTACATCTTCTAGAGTACATTTTCGTCTAATGGAGACGACTAATTCGTGAGCTGCCGCTGTACCAGGAAGCGAGCCTGAAATAATTAATGTTTAACACGAGTTCAATTTTCAGCACATGAAATAATAACTTTGATCGTATTATACTTACTAGCTCCTTCGGAAGTATACTTATAAATAGGCTCTGGAGGTGGTGGAATCAAATCAACATACGATTCTGGCATCATGTCTCGTATTCTTTGATAATATGACAATCTAAACATAAATTATACTCTATAAAGTAGAATTAATCATATGTACATATATGTCTAATGCATAAAACACTATACATATATAATAAAATTGATATATGTACCGCAAAGCTTTAAGGAGTACTTCTCGAATGAATTTTGGACGTGGATGTTCTGGATCGCGTTGCAAGCAAGAATCCCAATCTTCCCAAGACCAACGAAATTGGAAATTACTTAAATGGTATGCGAACCACCATACGAAACGATCGAAGGCAGCAGCAGCCATGCTATCTATGCGACGGAATAAAATCTCTGTCGCTTGCGCTAAAACCTATGACAAACGTGGAATAAGATTTTTCAACTAAAAATAATTGAAAAAAATATTTTTTCCTAGTTAAGTAACTGAGAAAATCTCACCTGTGGCACCGTCGATGGTTGTAGCTTACAAAGTTCGATCAAAATTGACCCGTAGCATATTTCTAAATGCTTAGGCGCCGGCAGTTGAAACAATTCGCCAAATATCACTTCCACGATACAATAATCTAAAGGGATTTTCGCTTTATACGGAAAGTTTAATAATTGAGCTGCACTGTAATATATATAATTCATTATGTAAATTGTATATAGTTTGACAATTAAGATACAAAACATAACGCGCGTAACACGTACCAATCTTTTCTTTCGTAAAAATAATTATTGATTATCTGTCTTAAATGTTCTTCTATAAGAAAACGTTCGATAGCGTGACTACCAGGTAATAATGGTCCTTCGGCTGGACAATCCGTGTAATCGAACATACGAAAAACTACCGTGGGCAATGGATAAGAATAAGATTCGTGATGCGGCGGTGCCATTATAGTAGGCAGATTGTGTTGCAATGCTTCGCAAAGTATCGAATCGAACGCGAGATACGGCCTGGGAATATGTTTCTCTGCCCAGTTGTCTTGTCTGAGCTTTCGCACTTGAGCCCACAAACAATCCAAGTACTCTTCCTGAGGATGAGGCGTGTCGCTCGACCAAATTCTCAAGGCTGGTTGATGCTTTTTGCTTCGTTTATTTAAAAATATCTCTATCGTTACCATTAAGTGATCCAACTCTTGCTCTTTCTTTTCATACAGTTCTCTTCCAACCCATGGCAGTGTCGATAATACAGCGTATACGTACCTACAAAGTTAGGCGGTAAAGCGTAAGTTCATTTTTGTTCTCACCATTAAGTACATCTTTTTTTACTACTTATTTCTTTTACATACCAATCGCGTCTTACTTGAGGCACACCGTCTTCGTTAGCAGCATCTAACATATTGTCGAATAGCTGCATCAAGGATCCACAAGATAGAACATGACAATTTACTAAATCGGCGAGAAATCTTAACGAGTATCTGGCGACGTCCCATTTACACGCTTTTAATGAATCTTTAAAATTCTTCACCATATAATCAACAAATTCTCCGCCAAAATTAAAATTCTTTGCATTCAATAATCCAACAAGCGTAGTATAAATTGTGCATTTCTCTGGCATTTTAATAGCACAGTCAGTCAAAATCCTAAGTATTTTACTGCGGAACAAACCAAGATCGGCTTCCAATACAGAAGCCAGACCTTCGAGATTGCTCTCCAATGAAGATGTCGATTTTTCTCCCACTCGTAAAATAAGAGATTCCAGCCGATCTTCGATTTCTTGGTTCTCTGACACTCTCCTGCGTTTCTTGTACGTACGTTCTGAAAAGAATTTACAGCGTGACTTTAATTATATTAAATTATTCGTTAATAATTGTGTATTTTAGATAAAACGAAACTAATCGTCCCACTACAAACAGGAAGCAAGGAAATATAGTACAACATAAAAAAATATTTTGAATATTTAATTCGAATTGCATTTGATATCTAGAAAAAGTATACGAAAATATGAGAAACTCATGGCTTTACCGTATCCATCTTCTTCTTCGTGAACTCTTCTGCGACTCATTTTCCAAATATCGAATATATCCTGTCAATTGGTCGTTATTTTTATAATGTCATATACGCTATGACAATTACGCTTCGACAACTTTTTGTATTAGAAACCATTTAACTGTAAACCATCGTAGGAAATCCTAACCCTTTGATCTTCCATAACCAGTAAATCAGTTCACTTCAGTTCACTTTGGTCGTAAAGCAAAAGCAGTAAAGTAGCTGAAAGTAGCGGAAAGCGATGAAGCGAAGCAGAGGCGGAACGTTACGTTACGTTACACGTTACACGAAATATTCCACGAAATATAAAATAACATAGATATCGATATTAGTATGTAGAATACAGTATAGCAGGATGGCAATGTTTCCTAACCTCACCACTAGAAAGCTATGATAATTGTTTCTCTGTAAACCTGACCAATCTAACAATTGCTGGTAGTTCGTGGTACTGCGTGCTACCCAGTGTTACCAATACCTATACCAATCCAATGTCAATATGGGATCGTGATCGTGCTCTGCTATCCACTTCATATTCGCTTGTCCATGCTTCTCCATTGGTATCGTGGATGAAAAGCGCATGGTTAATTGTAATTTTTCCAATTGTGTCATCATATGGTTTTTGTCCGAAAAATTCGATTGTGAGAGACAGTGATACGTTATCAGTGAAATGGTGGATATGAAGAGCGAGGAAATCAACGGAGAGATCGAGGTCCCTCAAAAGAGTGCGAAACAATTGCAGAAAGAGGCGAAGAAATTGGCGAAACTCGAGAAGTTTAAGCAAAAACAGGAAAAGAAGGAGACCGATGACAAAACACCAAAAGTGAAAGAAAAAAATGAAGTAAGGAGAATCTGAGACTGTTGTCATTGTTGAAATTTTTTTCCGATTGTTTGTCAGTTAACCTCCGATCCATATGGTCTTCGTAACGTGGTCGAGAGAACATTTTCAAATTCGAAATTATATCCACTGTGAAAAACAGAAACGATACGTATCTTTGCAATTGTTTCATGTGTCTCAGGGAAAAATGATAATTAAACGATTCACGATACAACAAAATATAAGAAAGGAAAATACTAATCTGATAAATCAAATTAATTTACGTACAAATATTACGTAATTACGCGTACCTACTTTCCCTTTAAAATTAATCGACCATGACATTTTTTGGCCTCGAGTTCTTTAGAGACCTTGAGCCTTGAGCCTTGAGTTGTATTCGTAATGTTACATTTTCCTTGTAATGGCTGTATTTAACCTTGTACATGCCGTTTTTTATAAATAATAAATTAAACATTTTCAGTATAATTACCACTTGAACCTCTAAAGCTTTTGTAATTGAATTGTAAATATGTCTTCTGTTTTTCATCCTTGCAGAAAAATGAAAAGAAAAAAGAATGCAAGGAATCGACTTTGTACACAATAGGCACGCCTGTGGGAGAAAAGAAAGATGTTACTTGTGCAATGCCTGACGCGTATAGTCCGAAATATGTTGAAGCTGCATGGTATGCATGGTGGGAAAAGCAAGGCTTTTTTAAACCCGAATACGGTGTATGTAACAGAAGCAATAATGCTTCGATAATGAATTGATTTAATATATAATAACGTTAGAGTAGCACCATTCGCGTCTCATATTGCTTATGTTATTAATTGCAGAGGAAAAGTATATCAGAGCCAAATCCTAAGGGCAAATTTGTAATCGTGATACCACCTCCTAATGTAACCGGTTATCTTCATCTTGGACATGCTTTAACTAATGCTGTAGAAGACACTATTACAAGATGGTAAATAATTGCTTTTGCTATTATGTATTAAATACAGAAATAGCGATAAAATTTAATTTAGCGATGCAAGAATAATGGAGATTTTTCTGGTTTACAAGGAATCGCATGAAAGGCCGCACGACGTTATGGAATCCAGGGTGTGATCATGCGGGTATTGCCACTCAAGTAGTCGTCGAGAAGAAACTTTGGAAAGAGGAGAGACAAACTCGCCACGATATAGGAAGAGAAAACTTTGTTCAAAAAGTTTGGAAATGGAAGGAAGAGTAAATACGAATATAGATCATATATAAATTCAAGGTTGTATATAAATTCAAGGGCGTAATGCGTGAATTTCAGGAAAGGAAATAGAATTTACTTACAGTTACGAAAGTTAGGGGGTTCGTTGGATTGGGATCGTGCTTGTTTCACTATGGATCCGAAATTATGTCGCGCTGTTACGGAGGCATTTATAAGATTGCACGATGACGGTACAATATACAGGAGTAATCGTTTAGTGAATTGGTCATGTACTTTAAAAAGTGCTATTTCCGATATAGAAGTAAGAATCCTTGACTGTAAAATAGTTGCTCGAGGTTGGTAGTTGATCTATGTTGTTTTCAGGTCGATAAAGTTGAATTAACTGGTCGCACGTTACTTTCGATTCCTGGGTATCAAGAAAAAGTGGAATTTGGAGTTCTAGTGTTGTTTGCTTACGAAGTAATAGATACCAAGGAAAAGATAGTAGTAGCTACTACTCGTATCGAAACTATGTTAGGGGACACAGCTATCGCGGTTCATCCGCAAGACACTAGATATACTCAGTTCATCGGAAAATATGTACAGCATCCGTTTTGTAACAGAAAATTACCTATCGTAGCCGATGAATTTGTCGAAAGAGAGTTTGGAACAGGTCGATAATTATAATTGTGCAAATTATTCTGTGAGAACATTGCTAAATTGACGTTAATTTTGATAGGCGCTGTAAAAATTACACCAGCTCACGATCCCAACGATTACGAAGTCGGAAAAAGGCAAAATTTACCATTCGTTACTATTTTTGATGACAATGGAGATATTGTTGGAGATTACGGACAATTTACGGTATTTACATTTTCTGTAAAAGTACTAAGAAATTATTAACACGTTGTTTTAATCGTTTGAACTCGTTTAAATAGGGGATGAAACGGTTCCATGCTAGAACAGCTATAATAAAAGAACTGAAAGCAAGGAATTTGTTCATTGAGATTAAAGACAATCCTATGGTGGTACCAATCTGTAGTAGATCTAAAGATGTAGTCGAACCATTGATAAAACCACAATGGTGAATATTTTGTCGATGAAAATAACAAACAACGATCGAATATGTTACATTTATCTTATTCGTAGGTATGTAAAGTGCAGCGAGATGGCTGCGAAAGCGACAAAAGCGGTGCAAACTGGCGATTTAAAAATCATACCAGACCAATACAAAAAAATTTGGTACTACTGGATGGATAACATAAGAGATTGGTGCATCTCGCGGCAATTGTGGTGGGGTCATCGTATTCCTGCTTACTCTGTTAAAGTAATAAATACAGCTGCAAATCTTAAGGTAATTTCACGGAGAATCCCGTAACATAATTAATCGTTTGCATTGAGAGATTTGTTTCTAATACGAGCAACAAGTAACCGCAAGGTAATTCTGAGATGACTCTGCTGAAAATTAAAATACATCTTTTCTCTATAAAAATGTCTGAATGTTTAAATTCAAGTTCAGTCGTACAAATTCATTTTACTTAGCCAGAAGATGATTACTGGGTGAGTGGACACTCCGAGAGCGAAGCTAAAGAAAAAGCTGCCAAACAGTTGGGTGTATCTGTAGATAATATTATTGTTACGCAAGATCCTGATGTTTTAGACACGTGGTTCTCTTCTGGTCTCTTTCCATTCTCGATATTTGGATGGCCAGACAATGTATGTAAATATTGTTTCAGATATTCGAATACTTACTTCGATGCTGATGTAAACTTACTGTTTTCCAGACGGAGGAGCTCGATGCATTTTATCCCGGTACATTATTAGAAACTGGTCACGACATATTATTCTTCTGGGTGGCGCGAATGGTATTTCTGGGTGAAAAGTTGCTAGGAAAATTACCATTCAAGTACGTATAAGAATTATCTTCGTGTTTAGAGTTCGTCGTCAAAGATACGTATAAAACGATATTTCTTTCATTAGAGAAGTGTATCTGCACGCGATGGTACGAGACGCGCACGGAAGAAAAATGAGCAAGTCCCTAGGAAACGTCATAGATCCAATGGATGTGATCAACGGAATAACATTGGAGGTATGTTTCGTAAGATTTCAAAGTATAACATTATTTTACTTGAATACATGTATAATTTAGGAGCTTCATAAGCAACTGACACATTCCAATTTGGATCCGAACGAGCTTAAACGTGCTATCGAGGGACAGAAACGCGATTATCCCCAGGGAATCCCCGAGTGCGGTACCGACGCTCTACGATTCGCCCTGTGCGCTTACACAACGCAAGGTCGTGATATCAATCTCGATATTCTTCGCGTACAAGGATATCGATTCTTCTGTAACAAGATATGGAACGCGACAAAGTTTGCTTTCATGTACCTTCATTCCAATGTCGATTACGACCTGGTTCAACCGGTAAGACTGTCGGTACATAAAAGCATGTTTGTTAAAAATTTATAAGAATCCACTGACGCGTCTTTAAACGTACACATCCGACGTTGCGCTCTTTCTATTACAGATGAATTGCAACGATCGGAATAGTACCGATGCGATAGGTGATAACGAATGGTATCGGGAGGCCTTGAAAGAAGCGTGTGTTCAGGATGCGTTAAATAATTATTTGGGAGATTATTCGTATCTAGACGGACACAGTCCGTCGCGGGTCGATGCGAAAGTTTACGAAACTTTAGTCGAATTGAACATAGATGTTACCAGCTATCCCCATTTACATCGTTGGTACAAACACATCGCATCGTATAGCAAACAAGAGCGAACTGGGTTCCGGCCAGATCAAAATAAAATATTGCTTCGATATGCCAGCAAAATACGCGCGAGTCGTACCAGTAAGAAACAGGTGCGCTATATACAAGTTAAGATAGAAATCAATATTTATATAAGTATAAAATTATATTCTGGATTATATGCTCCTTTTGTTGGTAGTCATTTGCCGCTGAGACAAATGTCGACTTGTGGATGCTTTCTCGCCTAAGTTACGCTGTCAAGACTTGCGATGATGCAATGGTACAGTATGACTTCACAACGGCCACCACTACATGCTACAATCTTTGGTTGTACGATTTGTGCGACGTTTACTTGGTTTGTATATAGTTAAATTTATTGGATAGCGTAACCAGAGAGTCCCTAGGTTTTCATATTAACACTAATCCATTATTTCAGGAGTATTTGAAACCAGTATTTCAAAGTAACGACGATAACAGGAAGCTCGCAGCAAGGAGAACTTTATTTAAGACGTTAGATGTCGGATTAAGATTATTGGCTCCGTTTATGCCTTTCATAACGGAAGAACTTTATCAACGTTTGCCTCGTAAAACACAAATTTATCCCAGTATTTGCGTTAGTCCGTATCCAGAACTGTCAGAGGTAAAACACTGTTTTCCTTACGTTATTCGTTTGTTTCTTTCTCGAAGATTTAATATTCGATCGTTTGATCATTTCGTAGGATCTTCAGAGAAATTTGGAGATAGAGAAGGATGTCGATTTTGCTAATAAAATAATAAAAAATGTTCGGTCTACGCGTGCAACCTACAATTTACCGAACAAAACGAAAACTGAAGCATTTCTCGTATGCGTTGACAATAGTCTGAAGGAAAAAATTATGGAATATCAGTTGCTGATAGAAACTCTTGCTTATTCTACGATTAGTACGCGCGAACCACCGACAGGATGTGCTATTATTACTGTAACAGACAAAGTTCAAGTACATCTGCTTTTAAAGGTAACGATTTCCTGTCATCTTGTACACTTGTAATCTTCTTAATCTTATAATCGTATTATTGGACGTTTAAGGGTTTGATCGATCCAAAGAAGGAATTGGAAAAACTCTGTAAAAAGAAGGAGCAGTTAGTAGATGTTATACAGAAAATAAACCAAGCTATAGAAGTTCCTGATTATAATGTTAAAGTACCTTTGGACGTGCAAAACAATAACAAAGAAAAGTTGTTAAATAGCGAAGGAGAATTGCAACGAATCGCCGACGCGATAACGGCTTTACGAACAATGTAACAAAGGTCTTAATTTTATATCCTACATTATCTTTTACATCCCTATTTATTACATTATATTTTACCAAAAACGATCACCGGTATTCTTCTTCTTTAATAACTATGTAATATTATAGATTGAAATAATTAAATTCACAAATTTTATCGAGGAGAAATAAAGTCAAAAGGTAATGTAGACAACCCCGGCATTGGAGAAGAATTGTTCTTCGTATTCATTTATTATAAAGCATTACCAATTAATGTGCAACAATCGTTAAATTAATATGTTCAAAATCTAACAACGACGAACTAATAATTTCGCATATAATCGTACTTAATTTGTTCCAATTGATTATTTTCTCCGTATACCGATGATAATTTGCTATCATCTATATAACTTCTCGTATACGACGACGCCATCACGTTATGCATGCGAACAGAATTTCCTTTAGTTGTACAATTTGTGATATATGATTTACATTGTCAGTATTATCTACTGTATTACTACGTTTTAGCACAATGATTTTTATGAACTTGATGTACACGAACTAGAATATTTTTGGGGCTTGATTCGATAATATTAAATCATATATATATATATATATTTTTTTTTTTTTAAGAATGTCACTTCTCGACTAATATCTCGTATCATGTTGTTTTACGATAATTACAATATTCGCAACTGGATGCGTCGATGGAAACAAACTTTGTACGCGATATTTTTTTACGATTTACTTTGGAAGATACGGCGATTTGAAAATTGCTCGAAACCAGGCGTAAATGGACGTTTAAAAGAGTTGCGAATTCGACACGATCTGTTCTCGATAGAAAAAGTACTCGAGAACGCAAGTGTTATAATTGTGCTACAGAGCAAAACCATTATATTGCGTTTTGCGAATGGTTACGATATTACGATTAACGTTAATTCTATTCACCGTTCCTCCGCGACACTTGTTAACAACTGATTTTCTGTAGGCGTTCAACGATGCGCTTATCCTTACACGAATAACAATAAAACAAAAAAGCGATACTAACGTTATATGTACAATCGTGATATGTGAACGTGAATTTGTTTAATGAACTATTCGAATTTCGTCCAATTGTTTTGCGATTTAATGGCAGGCGCGTTCAACGTTAAACTAAACGTGTTATCGACGTTGCTAATACTGTTATTGGATGCGTTGCATACTGTGGAGTTTCTCGTCGGCGAATCGCCGTTACTTATGCTAAATTTATTAAAGTCCAAGCCGTAGGCTTGCAACAAATCCAGGTCGCCGAAGTTATCAGAAGATTTTTGTGGGTTATCGGTATTTTTGTGCGAAGGTTGGAAGTACGGATACAACGGATTGCTAAGGCCCTCGCCCATTTCTGGTATATGCAACGACTGAGTCATCTGTTTGGAACTCGTCACATCCGAGGATCTGGAAAGCAGTGGGTCAAAGTCGTCGCTGCTTGTCGTCGAGTCTAATCTAATTAAATCTGGCACTTCTGGAGAGTTCTGCAAGCGATACAACGTAAAAGAAATTAAGAACGAAACTGTTATTAATATCTGCATAATTTAAAAAAAAATTATATTTATTTGTAGAATCATTTAATAATTTCTTTAAGCTAATACAGGATCAAAAGAAAAATCTTTTACAGTGAACGTTGTATATTCCACGTTTAATGATTATTAGACAAAAGAAGCGATTATACAGTCAAAGGAACAAATAAAATAAATAATAGATGATGACGTTTACCTTTGGAAGTGCAGAATAGGATGTACTACTGAATGCATGGGATGCAGCATGAAAATTAACAGACAACGATGCGTTTGGATCATGAAAAATTGATGGTTGCAAATAGGAAGGCGTAAACACTTTGCTGGTATCGAAGGGATCGTTCTCTTTCGGATGGGTATCGGGATCTATACTTTTCAAACGCGCGTCGAACGAATGGTCATCCTCCTCCGAATCGTAATTTGTAAAAGCATCGTCGGCGTAAAATTTAACGCGTTTGGAGTAATTTTCTAAATTATTTTTACGTGTCTTAGCATTCGATTGCTGCGGATTGAAAGATGCGTAATAACTACGTTTTATAAACTCGTTAACCCGAAGATCGTGTAAGACATCACTCGACTGTTCGTTGCCTGAGTTTTTTCTCAAAACAGGCGACAACGATGGTTTGTTGATTTCTTCTTCAGCTTTATTCGTTTCTGGATTTAAAGAATCGAACGAACTAGTGGAATGTGGAATTTGGTGGGACGATGGTTTTACGGAAGACATGTAAATCGGATTTGCGATAACTGTACTAGGTGGAGGGCCGTGCCGCATGTGCCCATTCCATGCAGGTCTCAAGCTGTCTAAACTGCGTACTGGTTTCAACTGAAAGTGATGCATGACTCAAATCATTTACGTAACCTCGGCAACAAAAAGAAAAATGGAAAATAATTATGAACCGCGTGCAAAAAATATACAACCCTCGTTAACGTATTTACATTTCATTTGAACTCAAAGAATCTGAATATTCTGGACATGCATAATATCGAGCGCTCAATCTCAATATACAGCGTGTCTCGCTTAAATATTTCAAAGAGATTAAAATGGGACACTCTATAGAATCATATCATAAAATATAGGCATGCTATCGATGCTGGCTGCAATAACAATAACATCCAAGAGTTGAGCGTTAATAAACTCGTTTTTCTCGTCTAATCGTTCGATTAGCGAGATGAATAATTCACGGCGATCGACAATCGTAGCAAGTAATGAACAATTAATGTAAGAGACAATCGCTTCTCTAATATGACGCTATTTAAATGATTGGTATCGGTAAAGTTAAAATATTATAATTAATTTTTATAAATTTCCACAATGTATGAACGTTAAGATAGAAAAGAAATTCGTACATACTGTTCTATCAACAGGAGGTGTATTTGGAAATATCACATGGCGAAGTTCTTGCATAAGGTCAATGTTTACCCGTTCCGGCGGAGAATCAGATTCTTCAGGAGAACTAGGGCTCAATGGCGAATATTGCTTCCTGCTACAAGTTAAGCGATACGAGTTACGCGTATAATAAAATCTAAATGTAGAATTAAGAGATTCAAACTAACCTTGAATCCGTGAAATTGCTATTACGTATTCGAAGATCTTTCCTGTAACTAGTAGTCGCTGTGAAACCATTTGGCGATTTTGGCGGAGACGCGAAGTCGATGGGTCTTCTATCCGACGTTGGCGAACTGGGCGCAGATCTTGGTTGGTGAAACCTCATGCTGGTTTCGCTTCTGTTTGACCGACCTTGAAGGAGAACGAGGAAAATAAGGAATTCTGGAAAAATACGATTCAATGGACTTTACAAACAAATAGCACACCTTTCCATTTTAGACCCTTGTATGCTGTTTTCATGTCCTTTCCCTTGTCTTTTACCTGCGGACACATGTCTTGTAGAAGTAGCTATAGCTTATAGAGAACATTTAACTAGAAATAGACGCGAAAGAACGGTAACTTGTAAAGTTAAAGGGATTCTAAAATTATTATTTAAAATTATTAATAGTATGAACAAATTAATGATAAATATGTTGTTAGTTGATTAAACACAACGAATTTGTGATATACCCATTTAAACTTACTGATTTAACTGCGTACTTTACTGCTGGATTGGCCTAGAATTGAAGGGTAATCAGAAATACAAAAGTGAAACTTTGAGTTTCTATACTTGAATTCGAAACCTTTTTCCAAAACATTTTTTAAACCATGAGTCGACTCACCTTGTCTTTTACGCTGCGGAAAAATGCAGAACTTTCTTTTCGCATGGCGTACGTCCATTCTCGATACTGTTGCATAAACTTACTACTAGATTTAGCGGAATAGCTGCAAGCTTCCATTTCGAATTCATCCGAAAAGCCAAGCCCGGAATTAAACATGTTCAGTCTTTCCTCTATAAACTGAAATACACAAGAATTAAACAAACGAATTCCGATTATAATTAAACTACGCGTATACAGAACAAATTCTCTTTAGTACTTGTCGAAATATTTGCAACTCCAACATTTTTCGTAAAAAAGGTTGCATGGAAGATGGTCTGCTTTCCACGAATGCGTTATCATCGAAAGTGATGCTTTTCCCTTGCTCTATAGTTAACGCATCCCTATAGCCAGCAGTTAACTGCACCAATGCTTGCAAGAATGCCCTCGATACACCGTCTCCGAGGAGCGCAGGTCTGTTACGGAGTCCCTTTTTCAAATTGGTTACCTGGGACAAAGAAACTTTTTATTTTATTATTTAAGATGTGTTTTTATTCTTAAGAATAGATTCGTTATTTCAAAGATAATATCATAGTTTTATACGAACTACGTCCTGAGGTAGAGACTCCAAGTCCTGAAAGGGGGATTCTATGGTATTGTTATCGGCGTCCAAAATAACTACGTCTCCTAAATCGTTTTTACGTACTCTCTAAAAATAAAATTTAAAACATAAATAAAGATTCGTTTCGTTACTTAAATCGTTCTCTAAAACTAACGAATTTAAATGTATTCTTACTTCCAGTGGATTTACAAAGAACAAACAGAAATTATTCTTTTTAATTATTACTGAAATACCTGAAGCGTTGGTGCTGGTACCCCGATTAAAAACGGCATGGGTGCCGATAAATATTCTATTAAAGATAATGGCAAAACTGGGATATATATATGTTGCCAAATCATTGGATAAATTAAAGCATTACACGCTTGAACGCAAGCGCTTAATCTTGAAAGACGTTTCGAAGTGAAAATAATTCGTCGCTCGTATAACATACTAGCGAATATTATCATCATATTGTGAGCATCAACAGCGCTATAATATTCCGTTAAGTTTCTCTGAAACAATGAGATTTTTATATGCGGGATACGCTATCTAAAATATTCTTTTCCATGTATCGAAACAAATTTACGATCACTTACATTTTCTGGTATACTTGGTAGTTGAAATTGTTTCGGACTTTGACAAACAAAATACTGAAAATTTGTAATGTATAACTTAAACAATACATTTCTCTTTTAATTGGACTACTTACCACTTTAGAATTTGGAACTGGAATAGATATGGAACTACCGGGTAGGGGAACTGTACTTTTAT